TATCAGATATGGATTATCTTAATGACTCACATGTTTTTGATGAAATTTCTCACAATAATGAGAAAAATTTGTCGAATGAATCAAATGATGATCAAGAACCTAATGTAGATTAGTTGGATGCTGATTACCCTATGGATTCATTATCTACTCATTAGATTTTCAATAAATTTGATGAGAATGTTTCAAAAGAACCAAACCCTGATGATACCACATCAAATGTTATTCATCTTCATCATCAAGTCACTTTTAGCGGATTCTCTATTCAATGCGAGAACTTCAACAAATAAAACGGGGAGGTAATATGACAGAATGAATTGTCAAAATTACATCCTTTTACTAATGATTTCTATTCAAGATTACCTCCGTCTTATTTCAATGTGATGATTACCCAGTGTAGTATCTGTTTCCCAGAGTGACATTTCATTCTGTATAACATACGATATTCTTGTATTCAATTGACCTGAACTATACTCAGCAATAACATGTAGCATATGATTTGTTATAGCCTCAAATATGTTTCATATATGTGATTTCGTCCTAATTAATAATCAAAATGGGTGTACGAATCAAAATATAAATGAGTGCATTTTCGACTAGAGTCGTCATCGTCGTCGTGTTTTTGGAGTTAATAAATCTTCATTTGTACCAGTCTTTGTATTCTTGCTTTCGCACCATGGGAATTAAAGTGGTTCCTGGTTTTCGAGTATAAATGATAAGCGATTTCGATTTGACAATCAGCGATGACTAGATATAACAAGTAGCGTTTCAATGACAAGACTTATTAATTTAGACTCATTAATTCAATGCATAATTAGTAAAAAAATGTAGTTGCTACCATAGAGCTAGTATAAAATATTTAAAACAGAAGGATCAGCGAAAGATATGGACTATTAAGAAAGAGTTTTTTCAACTTGATTTAAACATACTACATCTCAAACAAATGGATTTTAATAGACAGAACTACTGACAGTTTAATTGAGAACGATTTCTTATTAGTTAACAAAACATTCATGAGTTTATTGTTGTCGATCTTAGCACAGTATACTCACTTGACATGGCGGAGAAGATTTATTGCTTGCATTGGGATGATTTTGATGAAGTTTTGTTCTCTGACCTGGGTGGTTTGTGTTGATGATATCGTTCATAAGAAAGATGAAAACTCCGCAACCAAACTATCCAGCACAAAGAACGAAATTCCATTAAAAAAACTAGCGTACTCACTACTATCAAATAATCATAAGTCTGTATTACAGTGAAATATAAGTGATCCCGAAGTCTAATTCAAATCAGTTTTTTTAATTAATGTATGATCAGTAGCAAATATAATTTCGGTATTCAATGCTCCACTTCAGTTTATACCTAATAAAGTCAATCCAACCTGTTTGAATGCTCTGCCCAAAATCTTGATTGCGTGTTTTTTTTCTTACACTAGTACTGCACCGAAATGGTAGAAGGTTCAGAAATACGTTGCTTTCTTACGCCTGTTACTCTCAATGGAGCATACGCCGCCGTAAAATACTAACTTGGTAAAAAACATTAACTAGAAAAAATAATTCAAATCATTTAAACTTTGTCGTGGGAGTTAGAAGGTCTTCATTTAGAAGCTTTATGACGCCTCATAACCGACGCTTCTTCTGATAACTAGAGAAACTTCATACACATAGTTCCCTTTATTATTTTAAAAAGAGTAAGAACAAAGATTGGTGCAGAATAATATGAGACTAAAAACTGCATTGACAAAAACATATCCTGCAGCTAAATTGATTGTCCTGTCCAAAACGGCATGTTCTTTGACACAATCAAAGGTTGACAGGTATCCCTTTCATGTTACCACCAACTGTGTATACAAATTTACATGTATCTGCCAAAGCAGTTACATTGGTAGAACAGAAAGGAGAGCCTACGTTTGATATTTTTGAATTTTCAGATATATTAAAGACTCTGACCATAGCATCTTAGACTAAATTACCAAGATCACACGAATCCTGTGCGGACTTCCTCGATATTACCAGAAAGTTACAAGCACTTTTAATCTGAGATGAGTGGTACCTAGCGCTGGAATCAGTACATGAGTGAACACCAACTCTGAGAGTCAAGTTCATCAGGCTGACGAGTCTCAAGCAAGACGGAACATACGTCTTGGATTCCTCTGATTGTCATCACCCATCTCTGCTCAGTTATCAATATCACTATGCTATGGTGCCCTTAACTTTGTGAGATTATAAAGTAAGAAACCCCACATATTTGGTTAGAATCTCTGAAATCTTAATTCTTACTTCTGAGCTTTACTCAATAAATCTGTGTTACGTAATCTGTCTTCAGTTTCGAGAAATCCTGCTACCATTGTCTTCTAAAATATTCATATATTTAGACTATAAATGACCAAACAATTGAATAGTGTTCATTCTTGCGTATTATGTCTCTACATATTATTCTTCCTCCATATATTAACTCGATTTATTCTATACGCTTTCAATGTAAATATATACACTTGTTTCATTTTGATCATTAATACTGCAGTTTTAAGTTGTAAACAACTGAGGAGAATCCACAACATAAATGAATTCATATTATACTGCCACGGTCTTTTTGTTCTTCCCTTATTGTTATTTTCATATCCTTATAGTTCAGTCCTACCAACTGCCTTCCCGCGTCACCAGTGTTGTTTACGAAATCGAGAGGACGAAAAGAGAATATCCGGAGCTTTAACCGGATTGTTGGAATTCGAGGATTCACCTAGCGGAGTTCGAAAACCCACATTATAAACCAATGGTGTACATTGGCCCCAGTATCCTGAAAGAACAAATGGTGTATGAACCAATTGTTGGTCACCGGCTACCATGGAACTGTATCTCGTGACGTTGCTCCACTGTCTTTTGGATTAGACCTTTAGGTCAATAGCTCGGGGTGCAGCACACTAAGTAAACCACCTGCTCCGGTTTGGTCACCTGGGCAGTAATCCTATCCCTTACATAAATCAAATGATTTATGTGATGCATATCTATTTGGTGCATCCTTGTACCAATGTTTATGTGTTTAAATAAATAAATGTTAATTTCTAAATGAAATATGTAAGGAATTCACCAATTACTTTTCAAATAGTTGAGTTAAAGTTTATCTCCCTAAAAGATAAATATTATCAAGTGGTCTTTTCTTCAAATAATTTCTAATTCTATGATTGTAGCCTTAAAATGTTTGTATTTACTAGTTGTAATGACAAATTGTTCGAAGGAGAAATTTAAACTGAAAATGAATTGAAAACTTTAAGGCATTGGATTGTGTTCTGTTTTGTTTGGGGAATCGATCACTCGAAAATCAGTCAAGTCTTATATGAAACTCATTGTTTCAATAAAGCAAGATAAGATCTAATGGTTTGTGTTTTTAAACAAAATCACTTCACAATTCAGTAGGATAAATATTCAATGCTACCAATGAATAACAATATGACATATGACATCATGAAACTCTATCATTCGCATAATCTGACTAGAACAATTGGAACCCTTCTTGAAGTTTTTCATTGGCGATCTCATAACTGCAAATGCCTAACATCGGTGAAACTTTAATTTATGGATGACCTTTGAGCAACGCTAAAGTGGTCTTAAGAATGTCCAGTTACTGACTAAGGCTAAATGAAGGTTTTAAACCTGTGTAAAGAATAAGGATTGTAATTTACAATTGATAGTTATGGATAGGGATTAGATTTACGGATGGTCATCACGAACTAATATCTGCCAAAGTACCAAGACGCTATTAAACCAAATGAATGAATGAATTTCGCACCGAAATTTAAGGTCTGTTATCTTTTACCTGATTAGTACGTCCATAAATTATAATCTTGCTTTAACATCTTTAATTGAAGAATTTACATTATAAAACGATCCAAATAGTACAATAGGTTCATATAAAATCTATCATATATAAACTAATATGACAATACCCGACCGTTGTTGCTACCTTGACGTGGTGGTCGAGCTTGCTTATCGCGGTGAAGTAACAGAGCTATACTGGCTGGAACAATCATTCCTCAAGGTGCTAACATGCCAGACAGGTCGGCTGAAGAGCGATAAGACTAAAAGCAGCAAACCCAAGGTCCGAAGGCGAAGTCGTAATACTGACTAAACAGAGGTGTGACAGCAGTAAGGTGTTTCCCTCAGACAAACACCATGGCAGCGATGCTACCTTCCCACAAGGAGGAGTGGGGTTAGAAAAGGTCTACCCTAAAAATGCACACCTCGCCTTATCCCACGGATATCCGTCTCCGGCGGTAAGGTCCCAACAAGAACGGAGCTAACACAAAAATTGCCCATAAAAAGATCGTGTGTGATCGACCCCAAGCAGTTGTCTCTTGGACATTGCGGTCACACTCTCACGTCACTAAGAATACTTCTAATCTAATACCCTTTTCAGATACCTCCAGAAGAACTCTTCCACAGTGTGGGCAACCGGGAAGTGATAACTGCCCTCATACCTCTAACAGCACTCAATAATATGACAATCATATTCTATTTTGATAAATCAACCAAAATCAAAGAAAAAACATAGAAAAACAATAAATGATATAAAAATTATTGATTATTTTATTGAATGAAATAAATAAGTAAAAATATTCATAAATGTTCAATGTTTTTTTCTCTTTCCTTTTTATTTTAATGATTGTCTCATGCCTTGACAACAACAAAAAATGAACATTTCTATCTCTATTTATAAAAAGAAAAATACTAATTCGATTCATCTTGTTGATAATTAAAAAAGTGAAATAACTAAAATAAAAACAAAAAAATAAATAAAAAAAATTTCATCAAAACAAAAAAAATTAATCACATTAGAAAAAAGGGGGCATCACACACACGCACGCGCACATACGCACAAGGTCAAGAATGAAGACAGAAACAAGTGATTTTTGGCGCTCTTTGAAATATAAACGTCATGCTATCGGCTTAAAGTAATGAGAACAAAATCAAAAAAAAGAAAAGAAAAATTAAATCAGTTCGTTATGTTTATGAAAGATATTTTGATGTTAAATCTTTTATTTTCACATATTCCCCATAACATGAATATGGATGTGCACATACTTCTAAATCACGTGTTGTATTACCAAAATTTTTACCAACATGATATTGATAACCTATTGATAATAGAAATTGAGAAAAAAAATAAAAAGAGGAAGTTCAATAATAAAGTTTATTTGTTTACATAACCAATAATCGATGGTTTAAAAGGGAGAGAGTCTATTGGGGTTACATAATTGAAGTGCTACTCACTGCCTTCTTGCGTCACGGGTGTTGTTTACGAAATTAAGAGGATGAAAATCGAATGTCCGGAGCTTTACACGATCTGATGGTATGGAGGATAACATTTAATGGAGTTTGAAAACCCTCATTACAAACCAATGGTGTACATGGGCTCCAAGATAATAAGGGAACAAATGGTGTGTGAAACTATTGTTGGTTACGGGTTACTATGCGACTGGCGTTGCCTAACTGTCTTTTAGGTTAGACCTTTAGGTCAATAGCTTGGGGTGTAGCCGACTAAGTAAACCACCTACGTCAGTTTGGTCACCTGGGCAGTGTCACAACCTACACACAAATAAGGCGACTTGTGTGGCGCATATGTATTCGTTGCCCCTTTGTACGAATATTTATGTGTTCAAATAAGTAAATAATAGACTCATTGATACAGTTTAGGCTTGAATAAACATAACCGTAGTATGAATAAAGGTTGATAAGGTGTAACATAGAACAGAATATTTAAATGATTAAATAATCATCAATTGCCACGATGTAACTAAAATGCTTTCCAATGTCCTTTTGTCATATTAAGCGTTTTAATACTACACTAGGAACTACATACGTAAGCTGAAATCAATACTTCACTAGTTATTTATCTTATCCATAAAATAAACATGTCATTTTCCATTTCCCACATGGATTCACTTAACCACTATCGTGATTTAAAATCATGTATCCAAGTGATATTATTATAGAATTAAACAATTTCAATGAAAACAACATTACTATCAGTTATCCATCATTAATGCAATACATAGAACAAAGATAACATCATTTCCGATTACTATACTTCATTATGTTTGATAATAATAATAATAACAATTATTATCATTATTATTATTGAGTAACCATACAATTGAAGCAATAAACTATTTAGTGTCAATCAGTTATTTGTTATACTATTTGCAATTCTTTTACATCTGACAAGGATGCCACATTGAAGTGAAATGAGTACAGTTGATTTCATTACTATCATTGCATAACTCCAATCATATGGTATTTCTGTGTTCACTAGTTCCAACTAAACGTTTACGAACTTGTGATTAATGATTCAATACCATTGAAGTATTGATTAGAGATACCTTTGTGAAACTTAACCAACCCATATACCATAGCAATTCATCAAGTACCAGATAGTATTCACTCAATCAATCAGTCAGTATCAACGTAGACGTACGTACGTACGTATATCAGTTCAAGTTGCCATTCCACATTAGAAGAGAGATACAGTTGTCGATTGAAATTTATTAAGGGAATAATACAAAATGTGGTAAAATTGTATTTTGAGTTTTAGAAATGTTTGGAAGTTTAGATCCATGAATGAAACAATGGTTAAACATAAAGTGAATTATACATCAAATATAATAAATATGTTATAAACTCATCTTAGATACTGCCCAATTACCTACATCAAATTTAGTGGGACAGAGTTTGAATTTATAGTCACTTAGTTGAAAGTATCGAAGGGGTTTTGTGGAGATTGTAGTAATTTCAATAGTTGAGATCATGAGTCGATTGAAGCTAGACCACCATGGAAAGCCTGGAAGCACTGGACGGCCGCTTCGTCAGCAGTGCTCATGATCTCAACTGTTGAAATTTGTTGAAAGTTTACTGGTATAATCACTCAACAACAATCTCATAGTAAATGAACTACATATGTTCTACTTATAGATATACTGTTCAAAAATAGTAAAATAAACCTATAAATATTAGATAGACTATAACAGATTATTGTGTTATAACTTCAGAAAAGTACTCTGTACAGAATACTATACTATACAGAATACCATAAAGACAAAAACTATATAAGTAGTATGATTCGTTTTTACGTAGATTTGTTTCTTTATGAATGGAAATTAATATAAGTAAACGTGGAATCTTGGAATATTGAATCTAAAAGCAAAATGAAACAGTTTAAGAAACCCAACATCATAGCAACTGAGAAAATGGAAAGTCCTTCTATCAACTTTTCCTTAATGAAAAAATTGGGATCATAACAAAGCTAAGAGATAAGTACGACCATTTGATCTAGATCATAATATGTTTAGATGATGGAAATATTCATCACAATACTGTAGGTTCTATATTAAGAAAATTCATTTACAGATCTTATTGATAAGTTTTCTAATGAAGTAAAATAATTTTAGTGATATTGAGTTGTGATGATAGTTTATTTATCCATTCAAATGGTCTTACTTATTAAGTTTGGTATTTCTTTTCTTTTTCCCAATTTATTCTTTAAATTTCAATATTGAAGATAGTGTTTCATTCATTCATTTAAACTAAACACCTGATTTAAATCATACTTTCTTTTTCACCTTATATAAAGTACTAACAATTGCAAGCTACTTGATAGTTGTGACATAGTTGATGAGATAAACAAATTTAAAAGTTTATGATACATTTCTGCATTTATAAAGGAGAATCAGTCAGTCAGCTACAATGTAGGACCAGACACATATATGCATTAATCCAAGTTGCCATACCTCATTAGCACCGCGAGATGAACACCAGATTCATAGGAGTAGTTAAGTCAATGGTGGTAATATATAGAAGAAAGATTTAATATAAGGACATAGTAGAAGAAGACAGAATTAGTTTGTAGGAAGAAAGATATGAAGCAATTTTAATCTCACGGTTTAAAGGAAGATAAAGCGTATATACACCTACACAATTGTGATCGATTCTGAGTCATGTCTGCAACCTCTAACAGAACTCAAGACCACTGAAAGTAAGTAGAATAATAAGTTTCTGTTAGATGATAATGTTTTTGCGTTGAATAGTCGTCAGATATACTTTCAGATAAGTAGCACTGAACGAAAACTTATATGACGTTGAAATTCAGTATGACCGCTTACGAGAATACAACTAGAATATACAAGAAAACCGATAAGTGTTTTAACTATGTTGGCTTCATTAACTAAAATTAATATCTAATATGTATGAAGCATATGGCTTTATTTATTTATTTATTTGAACACATAAATATTGGTACAAGGGGGCACCAAATATATATGCGCCACACCATCATATTTGTATCTGGGCTTTGATACTGCCCGGATGCCCAGACCTGAGCATCAACTGTATTTGATGCTTCAACAACTGCTCTGTCTACAATACCTCGTCTGGAAGCATATGGCTACTTATGTAAAGAAAATTTCTTTTTATATTAACAAATGTATTAAATCATTTTATCTAAATGATCATAAGAGTAGTTTACCTACCATGAATATGACCTTCATAATCTGGTATCATACCTTCTTGATGAAATATTCTTGCACTATAATAATTACTCTTTGGTTTATATGGTATTGAAGTATGTGGACGTGAACAACTGAAATAACAATTACAATTTATATATGACAACATTATTTACAAGAATAAGATCATATTCATTAACTTCAATGATCAAACTGTACTTATTTCAGGAAAGGGTTTTGTGGAGATTTTAATAATTTCAATAGTTCAGATCATGAGTCAATTGAAACTAGACCACCATGGAAAACCTGGAAGTACTAGACGGCCGTTTCGTACCATTGTGGAACTCCTCAGTGGTCCTTCCAGGTTTTCCATGGTAGTCTAGCTTCAATTGACTCATGATTTCAACTAGTGTATTTAATTCATTATTACAAATACTGATCTTCTTCCAATGATAAAATAAGTTACAATGTTAAAAGTTTGTGCCGTTAACAATCCTATAAACGTATAATGAATAGTAAAATCGTATCAAATGACGATCAAGACGAATTCAAAATTGTGCTTCAGTCACTATTCACTTCATTATATTGCTCGTTGTTATTCAATAAAAAATACCACATTTGTTTTGTTCTAGTTTCAGACAATTCAGCAATTGCCATCCTGTTTTGTCCTGGATTTTGCCTGCTTTTCTATTCTAAACTTATGATGTAGTATGTAGAGTAAATGGTCATAGATGGAATCCACGGAATTGTTGCATTTCGAACTCAATAGCTAGATGTATCTGCATCACGGCACTTATTTTCATACTGAGACTCAAATTTTGTACCGATCTCTTTAAATCACAAAGCTTTATTCATTGAGTAATTGAGTTCACATTGTCACTAACTTGTTAAACGGGTTGTAATTTCCCAATGGTTGATATCCGGAACTACAATTGATAATGTTTGGTCGTTTGCACAAGTCCAAACAAATGTCATTCATAAGTTCATGTATTATCGGTTATTCATATATACACTGATTATAATTTTAGAAATAATTTATTCTATTTATTAGTATTATGTGCTTTGTGCTGATCATCATTTCGTACATAATCTTATACTACTTATAAATATTCAGTAGTTTCAGTTTGCTTACTGTAATACGTGATTTGTTCTGTTAGGAAAAAAAGAAACAAATATCCTGTACTTCCAATCATTTAGTTCATTCTTCATTTTTGTTATACTGTTTCTTCTTACTTCTAATACTTCATATTCTTGTTTGTTTGACTTTTTGAAACAATATTTGTTGCTATCAATTTCCTCAATTTATAAACGAGGAAACTAGCTTACTTTTATTAAACTCTTACGTTTCCCCTTGACATGGTTATTTCTTGCTTTTTAACATTTATGATACATGTTCAGATTTTATTTTTATGAAATTGTTCTCACAGCACAATTTTATACGTTTAAATTTTGAAAGCGTGACTGACACCTTAACATACGAGTGATATATATGCTAAGTGACGTCGTTGTTTGCTATAATAGGACTATATTTCTAAACAAATATAGTACCACTATTTCTGGAATTTTATATATAATTTGATGTTTGGGTTAGAGTTTCACCAAGTAATCTTGATATACCATGTTAATGATGATTAAAATCACCTATTGGTAAATCCAAATAGGAAAAAATGATTTATATTAGTTTAATAAGAAAACGGATACAAATTATCTCTGGTCAGACATCTGGATATCTATTAAGAACAGATCGATTCCATTGATCCAATAAGAGATGATAAAAACCTATCTTCCGTCATTTGTAACCACTGCTGAAATGGGTTACAAGATAAATCTTGAATTACACAATGAAGTTTCGTATAAAAGTTACGTAATTCGGATATTTAGGTTTCCTGAAGCTGTAGTTATACAAAATTCATGCATTCTCTGTGTCTTTACAATAAACCTACCCTGGAACTATTGATTTAATTCCAATATACAGAGCAGTATTGTTTCTATTATTTTTCCATCACTGGTTTTTTTAATGCTCTAAATGGTCTAGTTTAATGTTTATTTTCAGAATGGGGATTTGTGGAGATTCAAGGAGTAATTTTAATAGCTGAATTCACACGCGAGACTGAGGGTCCCGGATTGGAGTCCTGTGTGCGGGATCGTGGATGCGCACCGCTGAAGAGCCCCGTATTGGGACAAAACGGCCGTCCAGTGTTTCTAGGTCTTCAGTGATGGTTTGGCTTAGATCATGATCATTATTTCTTAAATAAATATCGTAGCAAGTAAATTTATGGCCAGATCATTCCAAATGCATTTTGCTAATATATATAACATTTCCATGGTCGTCTTTATTTTCCTACTGTATTATTTATATGTATCGAAAAGGATTAACTGCTATTGAACTATCAAGTTGAGTAATAGCATTCTTATTAGCAAGTTCCTTCTATTCAAACTATAGTCACTTACTCATTGTATGTTTGGAAAAAAAGAAACCTACTACTACTCTGACTTATCATCTTTACGGTTTCATATTTGTTATATTTAATCATAAATAAACAATTAATTCATAATCAGAGAAAAACAATTTAACGTTTATCTTTTTTCTTTACAAATGTCATTTTAAACTTTTCAACTTACGTTTCTAATCTAGTCACTGGCATATCAATATGATCAAAATGATTTTTACATTCAGCTCTAAATGTTTCTAAGCTACTTTGAGCGGCTTCATGAAAACGTTTAGCCAATCCATGTTCTGTTGTATCCATACGAGGAATAAAACCTTTATAACCTGGAATAGGTGGTTCAGTTGTACGCTTGTTTGAGTCAACACCAGAGTTCCTCTTCACCATATCATCTGTCCATATATTTAAATGATTCTTAACTAAAGGGTCATGTGCTATAGGATGAAGGTTAGTTAATAAGTTAGATGATTCTTTTAATTTATTTCGTTTCATCTCAGCAGATTTATATTCTCTGACTAACTGGTCAACGCATTCTTCAGATAGAGTACGATATGTTCTACCAAATTTGAAATTCATTTGAGGTATATCCCCTATGAAATAATAACTGAAAGATGATAAGTGTATACGTACCAGAATATCCTGGAATCATTTCCCCTGTATATTTATTATCTCCTGTTGGCTTTGGTAACATTCTTTCGGAAACATGATCTTTAAAATTAGATCTTAAAGTTTCAAATTTGCTGTTTTCGTCTGTAACAGGAAAAAAACGAAGTGGTTCCTAAGGAAATCAATAATTTACTAAAATGTTAAAACTCACTTGAATTCGTGGCCCAGAATAATATGGAAGATCCTACATTTTTAAGAAAAAAGTTTATCCAAAAAACCAAGTTACTTTAGCTATGTCTGATGTTTCTTTTCCAAAAGTATGACCATATCTATACTTGAATTGTGGGCAAAATCCCATATATCTAAAAGTAAAATTAAGATAAGATTTTGTTTTATCACTTAGAATGATCTAGAATATTTAATATATAACAAAATACCGAATCAAATTATTAAATTTTCTTGTATGATTCAAACATAAGTTTATTAATCAAAGTCAAAATATCCGTAGACTTTGAATGATTCACTCTTACATGAATGCATAAATAGCATTCATATAAACCAATACATCGAGTACACATAAGAAACCTTTATTTGCATGGAATTGTCATAATACGATTTTACAGCTCTCTGTAGATCTCATACTGAAGTTATTAAATTCATAGTTTAACTTTACGATCCACTATAAACACTTTCATTTTTCTCATAAAATGACTTTATATAACTCATCATCAAATGTTTAAGTTGTTGAAGTAAAAAGATAGGAAGAAAGGTATGAATATTAAAAATTATACACTCCCATAATTAGAAAATCTCTTGTTTATCATGTTTAAAACTTTTCACTTACACAACACTATTATTATTTACCTATTTCATTACAAAAAGTTTCCTTTGATGTCAAACACTATCATTGCATACTTTATAAACTCATTCTTATCAGCGGCATTATAGAAAAACCTATAAGTTAACCCTTTCATATGTTTCTTATATTTTCTTATAAACACTTCGAATGTTATTTTATATTGGACATAATTACCTTTAAAGACATTCGAATATCATGAAACATAATCAAAATGATCACATCAAATGAATAAAACGATCGTTGAACTGTTAATAAGTTTAAAGATATATTAATATATATCAAGATTTGACTTGATATTTTCAATTAAGTTAAGCATTGAACACAAAATAATAAAATAATGATATATTTATGTCATAGTGAGAAATTTGAATTTTTGACTTTTTAAGAATTTGTGAATGATAATTCTTTAAAATAAGTAAATAAATAATTCTCCAACAAATACATCATTATTTTATTACCGAATATTATAACTCTATTTCATTGCTTTCTATAATGCTTATTTCACACTATCTAATAAATAGTGGTCAATTTCCGGCTACATCGAAGATACATTCATTTCTTATGGATATCTAACGAATACTTCAGGATTTCACGGATTTCGACGAAAAGAACAGAGGTTAACGGCAATGATAAGGTCATAGTGAATGGTTATTCATCCGAAATTCCATCAATCACAACAGAACGATTAACACAAAAAAACAATTCTAAGTGATCCTAATTATAGTTGTGAACTAAGTATATATATATATCAGGAAATGGAAGAAAATCTAGAAATAACTTGTAAAAAATGTTGTTGAGGTCAATTTTCAGAGAAGTAAACCGGAAGATGTGTTTAACATTTAAGCGCAAGACTTTTTCTTCGGAACTCAGCTGACTAAAGGACTAGATTGACACACAACAAGTCCGAAACTACCAGGAAGCGATCCTCAGATATATTTAAAAACATTGTTGTGACTTTAACTGAAACCGCCAACTTTTTAAAATGAATTTAAAGCACTGGCCACTATTCCTTTGTATTTTCGTATCAGATGTATGAATATAGAAATAAATATAGAAAACTAGGTAAAGTGTAATAAATTGGAGGAATTAACGCGATTCCAACTTCATTTGCACCAAGCCAATAATATATTTTATCTATGTTTCTTGAATTCTGTATAAAAACATGACACTAAAGTCTATAAAATAAAATATTTGCCCGAAGACACAAGTTTATTAGGTTAAAAAAGATCACACGGGCAGATAACAAGCGTGTACACGAGGCATAGTGCACATTGTAAATCAACAGATGGCGTTTGTGTTTAAATCCATAAGTCCAGCGATTAGAGTTATGAAAACCAACAAGTTGTATCCTGAACACCCATTGAACAACTTAGTTCCGTCCTAGGTCCTTTACTTTTTATAATGTACGTTATTGATCTTACAAGTATAGTACAGTCTTCAATGTTATTATACGCTGACGATGTAAAAATTTGGCGAGTAATAACTGGAGACAAAGACGCATTTATTCTTCAGGCAGACTTAAATAATATGATAAACTGGTCTAAAGAGTGGCTGATGCCTATCAACTCGGGAAAGTGTGTCTACATGCACTTGGGGGATTCAAAGGTTAATACGTACAACATAGGGGATGTGTCATAACCCGTAGTTCGGTCTTATAACGATCTAGAGGTGACAGTGAGTAATGATCTTAAGACGACGGCCCAGTGCCGGGAGGTCGCAGCCAAGGGGTTTCGAACCCTCTGGGCTTTAAAAAGGACATTGACTAAGTTAGATACTGTCATGTTCACCACTGTATACACATCCTTAGTGAAAACTAAGCTAGAGAACTGCGTTCAGGCTGCAAGCCCCTGCTTAAAAGGTGACTCGGACATACTAGAAAACATACAGAGAGCAGCTACCCGTGGAATTCCGGAACTCCAGGGTTTTTCATACAAAAAGCGGCTTGAAAAACTGGAGCTCTTTACTTAGTATTATCGCAGACTAAGGGGAGATTTAATTTCGATGTATAGAATACTGAAAAATGATTTCGGACCTAACTTATTCTCTCTCTTTCTCCAACTAGATCGGAACACATTAGAGGACATAGCAGGCAAGTAGAAAAGCCAAGAACGAACAAAATACCCGTAGCATACACGTTTTCACACCGAGTCATCAATACTTGTAACCTGCTGCCTGAAGCAGTGGTGTCCGCTCCTTCAATTGACTCTTTCAAGAGAAGACTGGACACTCACAGAAGCATACTAAAAAAGGAATAACATAGGCCGTAGGCCTTCTGTCCTTAATACACAAATCTGAATCCCTTACCCTAAAAATCCGCACATATTTCTTCTCAACTAAAATATGGCACCACAAGTTTGACAACCAGTTTAGCATGCGCTGGGTTTAGTATTCTTTTGATCTAGATTTAGGCCAACTTCATCCGTCTAGTAAAGCACGGTCCAAGCGATTGGAATTGTAGTTTGTAGTACTAACTGACACTTAAACGGTTCACAACAGCTTTTGAACGAACCTTAGTACCTCAGATAGCACGTAACATTGAATTATTTTCACTTTCGTATTAGCTGTTCTTTTTATATGTACTTGTGTGCTTTAGGTAATATAGATGTCTTATTTTTCGAATTTTTATTTTCACACATATGAGTTTTGTGTGGGTTTGTCTGTCACTCCTTGTTTTATACAATCTCTGCCTCTTTGTCACACTACCAATTGTTCATTTTGAGTTATACTAACGTTTTTAATAAGTATTATAACGATTTAGTATGTTTGCCTCCCTAGGTCTGCTTCTCAGATTCTTTTCTCTTATTGTTTGTCTGAGGGAACGAGTGTATGAAATATAGGAATCCAAAACCCATTCCCGCATAAGATTTACTTCAACATATTATCCCTTAAAGTAAATCCAGTAAAATCAAACTGAAGTTAGAGCATTAAGCCACTAAAATCTAAACTCACAAAGACATGATTCTCTTATTTTTGAACACCAAAAACGCTACTCCAAACTAAATTACACTCTCTGTGAAGACGAAACTCGTCAGTCTCTATTCCATTTACATTTGGGAAATACCTTGTGCATACAAGGATAAAAAGTACATTAGTTAGTTGTGTAGTTAAATAAAATGGCTACATAAGATTCCCTATCCGATACATACTAATGGCCAACACAAGAATTTACATTTTTATTCAAAAGTGTTTATTTAAGATAATGCGAAAAATGATAACTATTGATATACTATTCTAACTAATATTCAACAACTTTTCAATAGTCTTATTATAATAAAATGTAAACCCAATATGGTTGATAAAAATAATTTACCCAGGCACATGTCCACCACTTTCCAAATTTGCAAACGCCCGACGTTGCTCAAGTGATGGCCCCCCACCATACTCGATTGTTGTCATGTTGATATACGTTCAACTACCCACACTCTGTGTTTCTATCCTAATATGTACCTTAACAAGTGTAGCAAATTAAAACAAATTTCCTCTAAATTCATGGGACTTTCTACTTCTGTGTCAAATAAATTATTTCAATAATTCATCCTCGTAAAAACGTCTTGAAATGTATTTACTATCAGTCTTCACCGCATTCTAACAATGATTTATCTGTCTTGTCTAGTCGAATTATTTTGTAGACGGGCTGGAGCTGTAGCTACTCTGAATTGTTTAGTTCTTCAACCTGTTGCAGGATATATTTAAACAAGTTCTTTCAAGTACTACCGTATGGTGACTTCGACGATCTTCATCTCCAGTCAAACTCCAAACTGACTAATAATATACCAGGCATTTTAGGAGAATTTACGCTATTCTATTAGAATCTTTGTTCGTGCCTATAAAGGAAACTATGTGCGTGAAATATCAGAATTCGGTTTGTACAAAACACAGCTCAATATTCCTATTGGGAGTTTGTTGGTAAGTTCGATGGCTAGAATACATTGTCTCCAAACAAGTAATGGACTATTGGGAATTAGTATAACTGAATTCACTAGGACCATGCAATGACGTAATGTTGTCACCCTGAGTCTGAGAATTCAAACATTTCATCAAACTTACCTCATACAGAAACTTCTCTTTAACTGAACACGATTTTGCTAGAGCACCTCTCAGATTATGTTCACTAATGTCGGACAATGGCTGAATATTGTGAAGAACACTTATGTAGTTCATTAGTCAATACAACACACTTTGTCCACCAAAAATTAAACTTCATACGATTTTATTCCAGACTGTAGTTTATTATCCGTATACCAATTGAAAAGAAGCTCGATTGCCCTACTGCTGTTTAGATTACTCTCTGTTTAACGAAAAATATTTCATCACTTTTCACAGTAACTCAAGGGTTATGGAGTTTGGACCTTTCAAAATCAAAACGATTCTGAGGGTTAGTATTGCCTCTGACTGTGAGATCACCATCAGGCGAATTATGATAAAAAATAGCTTAAATGTTGTGTAGCCTGGATACATGTGGAATAAATTACTACGAGTGTTGAAGACACATATTCATGAACATCTACAAAAGATTTGGGCGGTTTTGTGTGACCTGTTATGTCAAAACCCATGATATATTTGACACATCAGATGTAAAACAATATAGTGTCATTTAAACACGCATCCAATCAAATCACTTATAGCAGATCACGTGAAACCGAGTTTGTTCACTATTAATTCAATGAAGTCATTTTATTAACTTATTAACGAACTGAGTCATCCGTACAACTACTTACTGTACTCACTGTATCTTTACTATTGCGAATGTATGAAAATGTACGCTTGAATATTGCTTACGGCCCATGCATTTACTCACTCTGCTAGTCTTACTACTAACCGCTTATTTGATTTGATGACTCATTCATTTCACTATATATGTATATGTCCATGTTATTCATATTGATCGCTTTCTTGTTCTGCTTTCTCGCTCGCTTGATTGTACTCGATTACTTATATTCGCTCAGTTGCTCGCTTGCCTGTTTGCCGTTCGGCACAACTCTTAATGCTCGTTTAATGAATCTATAATTTTGGACATCCGTGTGTGGTCTCGAAATAAACGTAATCAACGCTTCATATTCGCTTTCTGAATAATATACCGTTGGAGTTATCTAGGACGGTTATCAAGACGAATTGTATACGAAGTTTAAGGAATATATCGAATACCGAACACCACACACTTTATTCATTTTCATTGAATAGACACATTTGTGTTATACGAATTCCGAAAATACATTTTTTTCTTTCAAGTTTGTGGCTTTAGAGGAACTCCATCAAAGTGGTACCCGTTGATTTTCGTGGAGTTTCCCGTGTCAGACGTACTTCTTACTGCAATAGTAATTGTCCTACCACATTAAAAGAGTCGATTCCAGTAAAAGTGGGAGCTACTGGTGGATATGCATTTTGGGTGCATAACTGTGATAGTGAAGGGGATCCAGTCCGAATGGTGGCTTTAGTTACTTCAAATCTCAAACGAATAACTGGTATACTATTTGTCTATTCCGTTGTGTTTGTTTTGGTTTATTGCTGCAGAGGCTTTCTTCACCTGCAATCATTGCTCTGTATGAGATATAAGGGGTAAGTCAAGTTGCATTCAACTGTTCACAGATGTTAACGTCTTCATAATCCAGTCGACCATCAGAAGAAAGAGAAGGGTCGAGTATAGGCAGCCTTGTCTGACTACGGTCTTAACTTGGAATCCGTCGGTCAGCTGTTCTCCTTGCACGACTTTGCATGAATTCCGTATGGTGTTGACGATTTTCTTAGGCAAACGATATTGTCGATGAAGGTAACATAAGGTTCTCCCAACCACAACGTCAAACGCTTTCTCAAAGTCAAGGAACTTTATGTATAGTGACGAGTTCCTTCCGATTGATTGTTCAACGATGATCTGTGGTGTCGCAATTTGGTCTGTGTGCGATCGATACTTACGCAATCCAGCATGTTGATCTCGAAGTTGAGCGCCTACTGGATTTTAGGAACTATCTCGAAGATAATCCACTGCACTTCCTACCTAATTATGATGGTTAGAAGTATTCGTTTCAGTTTGATAACTAGGAATTTTTGAAAAAGTGCTATCTGAAGCAGGTAGAACTATATGAGAACAAATGAACGTGTTATATTTGTAATGCGTATTCAGCGAGCAATCAAGTACTAGGCTTTTATTAGTTCGTACAAATACCATACCAATGTATCAACAAAACTCCACTCTTTATGTTGATGCTTATTGCTACCCAACGTCTGGTATGCTGAAATCATTACTTATTTATTCTCCTTCCAGTTGTTCTTCATAGTGATTCATGTTGACAGTAAGAATGGTCTGAAACTTATGATATAGGAACAGAATCTGAACACCCGAACGTGGTTATTTATTCGTCACTACCTTCTGTTGAAGAATAATTCCTCCAAAAATTCGGTCCATTGATCATTTTATCCCCGCATTATAAATAATACAAAATAAACTGCCTCCGAGACTCAAGATTAACTCCTGTAGTCAGGTATAATCATATTCTTAAGCAACAGAATACAATCTTCATTCTATTTTTTTAGTAAAACCACTGCTGTCATACGTTTTTTATCACGTGATAGATCATTAGTATGATGTAATTTGATCACATTAGAAAGTTACTGTGACTGTTTCATGTCTACATTAGTTAAGACTGACATGGAATTGTTATATTGAATTGTCAACCTGCATACCATAATTTTGTTGAATTAACACAATTCATAACATTACTTGATTTTACATTACTTTCTTGTAAATCTATGATTTTGATCTCTTCCATAACTTTGAGATTGCAGTTTCATTTTATTTTATTAGTTGAGATCATGATTTAATTGAAGCTAGACCACTATAAAAAACTTGGAAGCACTGGAAGGCCGTTTCGCCTGACTGTGGAAAGCTCCACCAATGCACATCCACGATCTCGTCTAGAAAGATTTGAACCCGGGACCTATCTCGCATGAGAGCTCTTAATCATTAGACCAATAAGTTGGCCGGCATCTAGCGGCGTTAATTTCTAACTTCAAATAACCCACTAAATTAGGCGACACATCCACCATTGTCTCCAGGGATTTTATATCTCACAACAGACCCGTTTGAAATCCACTAGTTACTACTTCTAACTAGAACTCCTGGAAATACTCCTTAAAACCAGTCATTAAAGAGCATATATTGATAAGTATCAGAAGGCGTTTTATTGGACATTATAGTAATGCGCAGTAAACACGTTCTTTTTTGGTAGATAGATAAACTCGCCTACGCCATAAATGGGGCAAGTTGGCAAAAGCTAGTCAAGCCTTCTGTAGCTTTGCTGATATTTCGCCACACACCAAACCACAAGGGCTGATGAGACTTCCAAGATAAGTGAAGCGGTCGACACGCCTAACTACTTCACTCCCTATCACTAGTTCGGGTGTCGATGTAACCCAATCCTGAAGCAACATTTTGCATTTCGAGGGAGAGAATCGCATCCCGAACATGCTTGCATTGTTGCTTAGAGTGGTCAGAAGACTGCATTTTGTCAGCGTCTTCACCAAATAGAACTATGTCATCGGCATATTCTAAATCAAAAAGTGAATCTCCTGGTAGAAGTTCAACCCCTGGAAATTCAGATGAGGAGTGTTACCTCTAAAAGCACGTCAACGACAAAGTTAAACAAGAGTGGAGAGAATGAGCAGCTCTGACGAACACCACTTGAGATAATCAATTCTGTTGACAGTTCGCCATAAGCTCTCACTCGACCACTTGTGTTCAAGTAAGCGTCGAAGTATTATTGAGGCTAATATTTTAGACACTATATTTGTCAAACTGATTCCTCTGTGATTGTCACAAGAGGACTTTTGTCCTTTATAGACAAGCACAATCAGTGATTGAGAACAATCATATGGGATTGCGTCCAGTTCCCAAATTCTACATAAGACCTCAGTTCATCTCACTGCTAATACTGCACCACCCTCCTTAAAAATCTCAGGAGTAAATCTGTCAGAGCCTGCTGCTCTCCCTCCTTTCAGATTTCCTATAGCCTTTTCAACTTTTTAAAGAGTAGGAGGATTTACATCAGCTTGCCATTCAGATTGACTGGAGATCGTGGGAAACCTAAGTGTGGCTGAAGGCCAGTTGAACTGATCCCTGTCTTAAGGTCGAGAAATACTACGATTGTGGGGCGTCTGAACGTGTGTCTGTGTTCTAGAATCTGACATAGTGTGAATATCTTGTCTATACAACCACGTCCAGGTTGAAAACCGGCCTGGTTTTCTCTAGTCTGCTCTTCACGAGCTTTGGTTAGGCGTCGAAGTATTATTGAAGCTAATATTTTAGACACTATATTCGTCAAACTGGTTCCTCTGTGATTGTCACAAGAGGACTTTTGTCCTTTCTTAAAAACTGGCACAATCAGTGATTGAGACCAGTCAGATGGGATTACGTCCAGTTCCCAAATTCTACATAAGACCTCAGTTAATCTCACTGCTAATACTGCACCACCATCCTTAAAAATCTCAGGAGTAAATCCGTTAGGGCCTGCTGCTCTCCCTCCTTTCAGATTTCCTATAGCCTTTTCAACTTTTTAAAGAGTCGGAGGATCTACATTAGCTTGCCATTCAGATTGACTGGAGATCGTGGGAAACCTAAGTGTGGCTGAAGGCCAGTTGAACTGATCCCTAAAGTGTTCTGTCCATCAATCCAATCTCCTGGATTGAGAATGAATAATATGTCCATTCTACTCTGAGATAGTTTCGCTAACAGTCGGGTTCCTAATACCGGTTTCCTTAACGAGTCTGATATTACCTATTGCCACTGCCTTTTCCATCTCTCTTGCTTTCGCTAACCACCACTGTTCACGATCATTGCGTAGACTTCTTGTCCGCTTGTGCTTAAGCTGACTCCTCTCTTCGTTATGTTCAGATCCAGATGGAATGAGTTTTCGAGCATCTATCAGTGCGATAGATGCTGCTGAGATCCAGTGTTGCTCCCTAACCTTGTGGTTTACCATGCTAACAGATATCAATGCTGTTTCCACAGCTTTTCGGATATCATTCCATGCTGCCTCAGGGTGGGTATCACATACATGGCCGCCTAACGGTTTTCCTAGTTGTTCCTGAAATATACTCTTAGCTTGGTTATCATTAAATGGGATCTTAAGAGGTTTCCTTTCAGCGTCTTTCTAACGTCCAGTAAAACGCAGGCAAATACGCGCTCACACTAGAGCATGATCTGAATCTAAGCATATGCTCCAGAATGAGCGACAGTCTTCTATCGAGCCTCTCCATCGGTGACTGATGGCGTTGTGATCTATTTGGGTCCAACGTTGGGACGAATTAGGGGATCGCCATGTTAAAAGATGTTTTTCCTTATGCTTAAAGTTAGTATTTGCAAGGAACAGGCGGTTATCTGAGCATAGCTGCAACAGACGGTCGCCATTATCTGTTCTTTGAGCCACGACACCATAAGATCCACCTTGGTGTCTTTCCCTTTCGCTTAGTTTACCTACTTGAGCATTAAAGTCACCAGCATCTATTACTACATCAGAGCGCCTAGCTTTTCGGAGAACGTCGGAGAGCTTTCTGTAAAACTCATCTTTTACATCATTTGAACTGCAGTCAGTGGGAGAATAGGCAGAGACGATGAAGAGGCAACGACGGGTGTCCCTATGTTTCCGGATTCTTACTGATCCGTTCAGTCGGACAGCGCACAAACGGCTGTCTACTGGGATCCACTCTAAGAGAGCTAATTCTGCCCTAGGGCTCAATGCTATACCTACGCCGGCGAGTCCACGAGAAGCAGCATCTGGGCTTCCAGATACACGAAGCGTAAATCGAGTCGGTTCTTTATTTTGGCATGGTGAAGTCAAATGAATGACACTACTCGGATCTTGTATGCGCGTTTCGGAGACGCAGCACACATCGATGGCTCGAGATTCTAAAGTTCTAGATAAGGAAGCCTGTTGTCCTATTTGGCACAGTGTTCGGGCGTTAAGAGCTCCTATATGTAGTTTAGAACGTGGTTTCAGGAGACCAGTAATAACATTCCACGTACTTGAATCGTTTTCCCTAGCGTTGCGAGGTGATAAAGAGACGTGACGAGGGTTAGTCACCGAGATAAAACAAGTATTACAAGGTGTAGGAAGGATTTGAATGTAACCAACTTAGTCTCGTCTGCTGTTACGGGGATGAGGGCTGATGTCACTTCCCGGCTGCTTCGTGGAAAGTTTTTAATGTGTTAGCTTCGTTCTTCAAAGGGACTTACCGCCTTATACGGAAATCCATGAGGTAAGGTGAGGTGTGACATTTTTAGAGTCAACCTTTTCTAACTTGACCTCTCCTTGTGAGAAGGCAGCATCGCTGTAGATGCTGGTTGACCGAGGGAAACACCTTACTGGTGTCACAGATTTCTTCCTTAGAAGTTTCAAATTTGGTAGCATATAAGCGTTTTTTCATTTTAACTTTTTCGAATCCCTCCATATTTAATGCCTTCATCCTATTAACCTCCGTTAATAGGATATGAAATACGTACTTTGGTTGTAAATAATTATTACCATTGTTTCTAGGTTGTAATAAAGTGAAATGGAACCATGAAACAAATGCATTCAACTTATTATTTTATGCTTTTCATTCCTGTTTGAGTCAAATATATATCAATGAGGGTAATGGTATGAAAATATGGGAGCCAATTAATTATTGTCATTTAATACACGGTTTTAATTGAGTAGCATACTTAAAACAATAGACTTGTGACCAAGAGATGGATTGAAATCGTGGAGCCAGTAGATAAAAAAAGAAACTAGGTCATCATTTGATTAATAAATTCAATCGAAGAATTTCGATTGAAACATATGGAATTGAAAATAACCAATAGGATAATTGGAAACAATATTCATTCAATCATCTGGTATGTTAATTATTGTATCTAATATACTTTAATTGGTTAAATATATATGTAGATTTACTTTAAAGTACATCCATCTACTTAGATACCTATTTCATTACTGATTTATTTACATACAAACCTATATCTATTCATAATTATCCTATTCTAGTGATACAATGTATAAAAATGGTTATGCAATTGAAAGAATATTACGACATAAATTATGCAAAAATGATTTTGATAATTTATTATTTTGGTCTGATTCAATTTGTCATTTAGATAATGAGAAACCACAATTTAAACATTTTATTATTGGACAAGAATGGTTATATACAATGAATCATCCACAAAGACAATTAGATTGTAGAATACATTTCAATGTATGATACAATATGAATTACAATCAATTCTAGTCTATTTTAGATATTGAATGTATTGGAGATTTAGCCATGTTTCTAACATGTCAAATAACACGAAATTATAATCATATTTGTGTGAAATTTATCAGTAAACAGATTCAACAACAACAACGAAAAACCGTTAAATCTATTAAGAATACTAAACAAAATGTCAAGGTAAGTTATAGTAAATGGTAGGAATTTCAATCATCTGTTTTATTATGATGATAAAAATGTGTAGTTCAACTGAATACGTTTGATGTTGTTTTCGAAGTTTTCGAAGCTAAATAGTTTAATGGAAGAGCTTTTATTGTCATTCTGGGTGTCACAATCCTAGCCTACTTCATGATTAAAACGAACTGTTCAGTTATTGTTCAAGCACTAAATGATGTCATTTAAATGACTTTCTTTGTGATTGCATTCTCGTGTTTTGCACCATCCCGACCGTGTAACGAATTGACGTCAGTTCTAAACGGACGACTAACTTTTATATCACGCTTCTAGAAGTTCTCCATCATTTTAAGGATACTCTCGATTGAAAATTTTAAAGTTTTCACAGTTCGATTCATCTCCATGATTGGTCAATGATAAAATATCGTCACTTTTTACTCATCGTTTTTGCTCGTGTGTGCGTAAGCGAATGGGGCGTCTACTTTGTTCACTTAACTGTTTCTCTAGTTTGGTTCAGTCTTATTTGTAGTTGAGATTGTATTTGTATCCTTTCACTGTTATGTCTTACGGTTTGTATAAAACGGAATAAAGTGATTGTGGTGGTTTGTGAAGCATATTGATATGAAAAAGGTTTTGTAATCTTTGTGGTGATTTCTGAGGTGATTTCCACATATGGTAGAGCAATTTTCTCCCTTACATATGAGTTTGGTGTTATTCAGAATGGAAATGAATATGTCACAATTATAAAATTGAAATCATAGAACTTAACTTTATTAAAATGTATTTCGTATTTCGTTTAAAGTTCCTCATCTCATTTAAACTATCCAATGTAAGGACATTAGAAAAGATGCCTAGTTTAAATGATATTAGTAACTGACAGTATTTCTCAAATGCGAATCAATAGTTTTGTTGAAAATTTCTTTAATTTCGCTCAGCACTTTTTTTAACTTCTTTATGAATTGAATCCTGATAACTCATCACATTTCATGATGAAATATTTACAACTTAGTGTTAAGTGTTCCTTACTTATACCGCCTTTTACCCCTCGTGAAGGAGTATAGACCGCTCACCAGCACTCTCCATCCAACCCTGTCCTGAGCAATCCTTTCCAGATCCTTCAGTTGTTATTTATCCTTTTCATATCTGATTCTACTTACCGACGTTGTGTGTTCTTTGACCTTCCTCTTTTTCACTTACCCTCAGGGATTCCGAGTTAGGGCTTGCCAAGTGATGCAGTTTGATGATTTGTGTGATGTATTTCTTGGTTTGTTCGCTCCCACAGAAGGCTGTTGCTGATGTTATCCGGTCAATGGATGCTGAGTATCTTCCATAGACAACTATTTATAAATAACTGTACCTTCTTGATGATGGTTGTTGTGGTTCTTCAAGTTTCAGGTCCGCACAGTAGAACCGTCTTGACGTTCATATTGAAGATTCTCACTTTCATTTGATATTGTTTCTTACTGAAAACATAAATAGTAATAAAACCATGAAGGCAACTAATTGACAACATAACTCAGAAACACAATGAAATGCTTATTTGTTTTTCTTACATTATGAATATGACTGTACAACACACTTGGCTTTCTTTGGCAAAATAACATCTGTCACTTCATTAATCAAACAACTAGTTCATTTCTTCATTTTATTATGTTAGAAGACAGTTGTTTAATGCTTCCTAGTTTTAACGATTGCCCAGGTAAAGTCATTTCACAATGAAAAACCATAAGATGTTTTTTTCAGGGTAAATTTTCAGTTGAATTCATTTGAGAATTTTAATATTCAATACAGTTTACAGATAAAATAGAAACAGTCGAAAAGGAATGTGCTATCATAGATGATGTGAATATTGATCAACAAGCTGGGATATTAACCTCTAAAGTTACGTAAGTTATGTAACGAGGTGTTTTTAGTTTGAAAGTTATTTAGTAAATCATATATTCAAATAATGTGTTTTTTGACGGTCTTCAAGAGGTGTTTCCTGGAGTTCTAGTGAGAGGTAGTGACCAGTGGAGTTCACTGATGACATGACTGATGACGTGCCGCTCAATTTCGTGAATTAGTTGGAGTTAGAAATTAACAACGTTGGATGCCGGCCGACTCAATGGTCTAATGGTTAAGTGCTCGCACGCGAGACTGATATGTTCTGAGTCAGAATCTCACGAGGTGAGATCGTGGATGGGCACTGCTGAGGAGTCGCACAGTCGGACGAAACGGCTGTCCAGTGTTTCTAGGCTTTCCATAGTGGTCTAGCATCAGTTGAATCATGATCTCAACTATTAAAATTACTATCATATCCACAAATTTTCTTCTAAAAATAGTTTGTTGCTTACCTCTTAATTAAGAGTATGATAAAATATTTCATTAAATAACAGTTTAAGTATTTAAGTTAATAAATCTGTACTGACCTACTTTTATCAAGAGAACACAATTGAGTTAATGGAAGCAAGTATTATTATAACCGATTTTACTGTACTAAAGACATTCTACCTTCCTTTGATTGTGAGCTTGCGCGAATTCGGTTACGCTCAGTAACCACACTTGTACTCCTTTGGCACGATCTCGGTATTCTTTCGATACCACGAGCTCACCAACGAATGCATTTCGACTACTGCCTTCTGATATTTGGCTTACGGTTAACTGACATGTAGTCTTCCTGTAGTAGTGATCATAGTCAACCGCGACTCGATACCACACTAAAAATCTATGCCTCCATATATATTCAGAGAATAAAATGAATTCTACAATGTTTCTGAAGTCTTTTTAATATTTAACTGCTATAAATTTCATAATGAAGTGAAATGAATAGGAATAAGTCTGATTGTCTAAAATGATCGAATTTCATTTGTGAATTAAGAATTCCAAGAATAACTCAATTTGAAGAGGACAGAACTCGATCTTAGTCTTCGACACTTTAAGAGCACATACTAATGATCTGCTCATGTATTAAGTCGATATGAGGTACAGTTTAATTTAATTTGAAATGCTCAGTGTAAAAGGTATTAATGCTGAAAAGATGTAAATTTAGTTGTGAATAAATGAATCCAGTAGAAAATAGAATTTTTAAAGTGAAATGTGACCAGAGATTAAAAAGTTGTGATACATTTGACATTTTATATGTTACTTCTTGTGAGTTTGTGCCTTATCAATATATATAATGTAATGATAGCGTGAATTAGAGAACAGAGACTTATCGACTGGATCAATGACTCATAAACCCGTACAGGAAGTATAGAGTCTTTATCGGTCCTTCTTTCTGCATAGTCCTGCCTGTTAAAGTCCACAACACCAATGTCAGTCTCTTCAAGATGGATCATGCATTTTAAACATACTGGGTTTATATACAAACCAAACAGACCACATCACACCATAAAATAAAAAATACACATTTTTACAAGATTTAGCCAGATGTGACGGTGAATATGGGAGACTGTAATTAATAGACTGGGTATAACTCAGGAACGGTAAGTTGTATAATAATAGTGGATAGGTCAAAATAAAGCTTATAATAAGAGGAAGATGAATATGCATAGTTTAGTTACTTAATGATTATACAATAAAAATATGTGCATAGTATTAACCAGTTGCCATGCATAATTCTCATCAGAATTTAAACATTATGTAACCTGATTTTCATCATATAATGATGGCTCATAATCATTTATACACTAATATTGATCGTTTCATGTTTGTTTTTTTCTTCTTTTTAGAGAAAATGATCATGATCCAGTTATTAGTGTCATTCGAAAATTGCACATTTATTTAACCGATACAAATTTTATTGGATATGATATTTTACAAAAATCAATAAATGGATGGTATTATTCTAATAAACAATTCAAACATATGATTACAAATTTAATGAATTTAACACATTTTCAATTATACCAAAGATCATCAATCAAACAATCTCTTTCATCATCATCATCTTTAGAAGAAAATAATATTGAAGGATTAATTGCTAAGGCAACTAGAAAGAATACAATAATCTATTCAACAACAGCGGATAATGAAGATTTACAACAATTAATGAATATGTTTAAACCATTCTGTAAAAATGTTACCATGGGTACGAGTACTACTCAATTGGACAATCATATGGATACATTCACTATGTATATAAATAAATTAGATCATTGGATTAATAAAACTAAAATGATCAATGAATTCATACATAAAAAACGGACAAAGTTGAATATTATTCATCTTATAGATGAACAATTAAATCAATTAGATCATAATTTAACAATCATTTTGGATAAATATCCTTTAGATGTTTGTATAAGATTATCTAATCAATTGATTACAATTATGGAGCTTCTTTTAACTCAAGTAAGATTATTAGTGGTTTAGGGTTTCTTAAATTTATTCAAGTATATCATCTGTCTTTCATAAGGGTAAAATATCATCCATTTGAAAGAAGTCATCAAATTTTCTTTTGATCATCGTTAAGCTTCATCATATTGAATTACAATTGAATTTCACTGACAACGAGAATTTTGTACTAAAACACAAGCATATGCATTATTCACTGGTATCTTTTACTCAAATGGTCATTCATTGTGACAGCGAATGATATGCATCCAGCTACTGACTATAAGGAACATTCGTTATCTCAATATTGTAGTTATGATGAACAAACTGCTGATAATTCTATCTTATACCAAAGCTTTAATATTGAATAAAGCCATTAATAATAATAAAATCAAGATCTAAGGTCTCTTGCTTATTGCTTTCAATCAGCTTATATCAAATAAAGTGTACAGGGATATTGAATCATATCGGTCAATAGTCACCATTTTATTTTATATGCTCCAGTGTAAACACAATCTAAGAATCAATGGATTTGATCTGAAAGTTCACAGAAGAATATTTGGACAGTAACTGTAGAACACTGTTCATTTAGTAAAATATTTTCTAATTTGTATCATGTTTGTTTTACGAAGAAATAACAATCCTGTTGTGGTATACACTACTGATGTCGACAGAGATAATTAGCATGTATCATCAATAGAAAGTCAAATATCTGGAGGTAGGAGATTAAGAAGATCAAGGGAAAGAGAACGACAACAGAGAAACGAAGGAACAATAAAATCTGAGACGATTGATGGATAATTTGAAAATGAAGTATTTACTGTATGGTTCTCAGATTTTACTAAGACATTCTGTAAATTTGTATTCAACTACATTTTGGTTGTCCCCTCATGTGTTTTCTTTCACTACACAGGTACTATTGTTGAGTTTATTACAAACTATTGATCAATTAAAATGATACTTAGAAATATCTTGTTATTTTAGGTAACATTTACATTGCCGGCACAACCAATTTGTCTTGGAAACAAAGAAACACTAATGTGCGTTGAACTAGAAGATCGTGATAAACACATCATAGGAACTCAATCAAAGAAAACAACAAGCGATCGCATGAAACTGGTCATTCATTTAATGAAAATAATCAATTTATTACTGTCATACATTTTGCCAATATTTACACAATCCAATAGAAATCTTAGTCTACTGAATAAGGATAAAATCACAATAACTGTGAATGAGAAAGTTATGAGAAAAAAATTGGAAAGAGTTATTTCACATCTCATTGAACACGTAGTACAGTTACCATGTGTAATTGATAACTTCTCTTTAGATGTATTAAATAAGGAAAGTACTCAACAGCTTAATTGTTTTCAAATTGAATTGGAGACGTGGATTCAAAGATATGAAATGGAAAGATTAGTAAGTTATTCATTATGAATATGAAATATATTCATTTTGTTTGATTTATTGATTGGCAAATTGTCAGGATACATTGATGAACATTCAGAGAGTTTCTGTGGATAAGTTACCTGTTATGACAGATGATTCGTTAGGTTAGGCAATATTCATGTATTAAAGTATTCTCTACAATGTATCAGTGCATTACGGATAAGGATGTAATGTTTATAGCTAGTCATCAAATCTGGCAATAGATTTTGGCTTTGGATCTAAGTGATGAACATCAAGTGTTATGTTGGGCAGTGTCTAATTCTGATACTGATAAACAAGTTTTCTCTCCATTAGCCCGAATGATTACCTGAGTGGGAGGACAGAATGAATAGGGAACCAAAATGTACACCAACGAATATAAGTATGTAGTGAACAAGAACACGAGTGGGGACAATGGAATGTATTAGACACGAAATTACAGAGCAAATATCAATCCATTGTCTCAGGTTTCATTGTTCATGCATTTTCATACCAAACGAGTTCCGTTCGCATTCTTTCCTTCTCGATCTTCTACTGAAATACATTCTATGTTTCATTACTACTTATGTGGATATAAATAACCCACACTACATGCATATTTCCTTCGGAAGTTTAAGCCATGTTTTTCCATCAGAGATATGTATCCCACTCCCTAAGAAAGGAAAGCAAATTTTAGCCAGTTGAACACTCATATTATTTAGTCAACGTCTAATTGACCTACTATATCACTATGATAACCAGGTTCCTATTGATTAGTTCCATTGATTAGCAATACAAATTAACAAATACATTATTCAGTGATTATTTCAACTGCTTTCAAACTTTTCGTGCACATTTATCATATTGTTTGCTGAAACCGACGTAACCTTTAAATTACGTACTTGGTTACTTTCATTTGTTAAAGTATAGCCAATTGTATTTATGTAGAATAATCTTAATAAGAAAACTATGATATATGGCAGGTTAGTGGATAGATGTTAATAGTTCTCTTATGATTCTATGTTGAATACTTTCTTCTGTTTAGTGTTTTTTGGCGAGTTAGTTTTCGACAGGATGGGGTCGCAAACCCCATGCCCAAACCCCCTCCTTTTCCGGGCTTGGGACCGGCAGTAGTCCCCAGAGGGACTCCAGGCGGAGTTCTATGTTAATAGACAGTCGAAATGTACTATGGTGTTATGTTTAAGACATCATTAAAACTTCATATGTTTACTTTACTCTCAATTCCATAGCATTATAAAGTATTGAAATATGATGAACTATTATTAATCCCAACTGAGCTAAGACTTCAATAAGACACAATTAGGAATTTGAATTTGAAGTAGACAGAATGGAATTGCACTGTATTATTATAATTCATTACAATACATAACATAAAACATTTAACTGTATAACAAAAGTAAGAAATATTCGCCATACATTACGAGTATACCCCTATGATAATTGGATATAGTTGAATTTGCCATCCTAAATAGCCATTCACCGAATTGTCCGATTCGTATTCTAATAATCACAAATCGATTAGAAATGAAGTTGAAGAGAAATTCGTAAACACAATGAAAGTTATTGTATCTTGTAATTCAAATAACAAGTGAAATAATGTACAAAAGAATTATCACTGAATAAGCAAACCACAGTTCTTTATAAGGGGATTTTGTTATTGTATTCAAAGGTACTAGGATAAACATAGAAATTGTAGTACCAGGTAATCTTATTGCATTTTAATAGTTTTGTAACAAGTTAGTTAAAAAAAGCTTGACACATATATAATATCTTAGAATGACTAGTCTATGCGTATATAACACTTCACAGTTGGTCATTATTGAAAAAAAAACGAATGGAGTCATTGAAACTGTATCGTGGTGTCGAGTCCCAGTTGACTATGAAAACCACTACTGAGAAATACATGCCAATAAAATCAGAAGGCGGAATAGAACCAAGTTTATTTAATTGGCGATCTCGTGGTATCGAATGAATACCAAGATCGTTCCAAGAAATAGTACAAGCAGGAGCAGCAGAAGGGAGTACGTGCGAGGAGAGTCACAAACCGCGAAACAATAATGGAGGATAATGGAAGCACACACTATGTCTGTTATTAGCACAGTTAAACAAACGAGCACAGTAAAACAATCACTGCTACAATTGGTTATAATAATAATTGTTTTAATTAGACCAATCTCATTCTCGTGATAAAAGTAAGTCACTACAAAACTAACAAGTATCTTTCTAATTACAATGAGTCTAATTCATGTTATTATACATAGAATAGATGGTTAACCTGTGTTCATATCTGTAAACTCTTGATGAGTTCTTTAGGAGATGCATTTTTGTTTTCAAGTTTGAATTAGAAAAGTAGTATTTTCTGTATATTTCCTGTTTTTTGTTTTGTTAAATTCCTTTTGAGTAGTTTAATGGATACAGTGATTCTATAATATTGTAAAATTTGAATGCCACGGATCTAATCGTCTTGTTGATTAAATAGTTTAGTAAATGATGGATAGTAGCTAGCAGTGGAATCCAGGACTCGCGTTTCGTCCTATTTATGACTCGTCAGCTGGATGTACCTGCATCGCAGAGTTGATGTTCACTCTGGGACGTGAACCCAGTACAGCCATTCGCTTCAAACGCCATCGCGTTATCCACTCAGCTACTGATTTCTGATAGCCACTTGCTTGCGCAATGGGGTTGCGTTAATTCACAAGCTTTTTGTTAACAATGAAGGCAATATCGAGGCATACTCACAGTATGCACATATGCCAATAACAGACTGATCAATTGCAGTCTTAAACCTCAATGAGAAGATACAAGCCAAACAATACCAAGTGGTTTAGTAAATGTTTTTAATTTATCAGCTAAATTAGAAACAATTCACATATCCTCACAATTTCAATCACTAACATCATTCTAATTGTTAATCTTACAAAAATAAAATAGAAGAGATAAGAGCAAGACAATCTTTTTTTATGGATGAACCAATTAGATTTGAGATAACAGGTCTGGGATTTTGGTACGAAATTTATTCACCCATATGACTAAATAGAATCTTGGCGTTATAGCTGATTTCAGTTCCTGATGATAACCCTAAATCTAATTCCTAATCCTAACCAACCATCAACTGCAGATCATAATTCTAATTCCCCACACACTGGTTTATAACCTTTATTTGGTCCTAGTTATGAAGTGGACACATGCAATGTCACTTTAGCCTCATTTAAAGATCCCCCATAAATCATAGTCTCACTGAGATAAGTAATTGAGGACTCATAATTTTACGTTTGATAATTTGAATAATACCAAAACAACTAAAGATCAAATCTTAAACAATATTTATAATAAATATTTTGGATTATTCACAATTATAATCAACACCATGACGATGGATATTGTTTTAATCTAAAGCGTTAACAATTTATTGTCACCTGATTTAAACTTATTTTATGCATCAGGTCAAGGGCAAACTATTTCTATATTAGTTTATATCCTTGTGATTGTACTTCAATAAAAGTAAATCCTTATCTGTGATCCATCATTACGTTTAGTTAATACCTTACAGATATTATTTTACTATTAAGTCGGTTTTAATGAGATATGTTCGCTTCTGGTAGGTATGCGATAAAAATCACTGGTAGAAATAAATGATAATCCCTCAGTATAGGCAACTAACAGAAATCAAAACGATGAATCATTTGATGGTAACTCAGTTGTTTTCACATTATATGGTTGCTGAAATACATAGAGATTTCAAGTATAAGCCTTTTTGGGTTTGTAAGCGTTGAAGACGTTAGATCCCTAGAACTGACCTAGAAAAGTTCCTAATTTTGTAATTTTATTCTGAAAATTTTAATTTTATCTTTTTGCGCCAAGAGACGCTTAGTTGATCTACAGCTTACATTTCTTATTAGGAAATCCTTGACTGTCATTGGTCAAAGGATTTTTTTAGTACACTATTTTGTGGCTCTTCCAAGGACGTTTCTATCATTGTATAAATAAGCTTGATTTGTGTGCTTAGTGACCTCGTATTTTCTGGGTGCCTCATCAAGGCTTCTTGAACTAGTTATCAGGGCTGGATTAGAATAGCCTATTGTGTCACTGTATCTTGACTTTCGTTCCGTTTACCGAGTACAGTGAACTCGTAGTAGCATTCAATCATATCAGTAGGTTGACATTGTTCTTGTTCCTACTGCACAATAGTTGTCTAATTAAAGTCACTTAATGAAGTAAATTATCATCAGATATGATTTAGTCGTTAAGTTAGTTTCCTTCATTGAATTCATAAACAATATGAGTTTTGATTATTATGTTTTTCTATTTGTTTATATGAATCAATTATCCATTTATATATAGGATATAATGAGTAAAGAATATGTCCATGTTGATCAATGGTTACAAGATATTTCTGAAAAAGATCCATATGCAATCACAGTATCAACAATCAGAAGTATTTTCAATAATCATCCTGAAATTGGTATTTTCATACATCAATTCAATGATCAAATTAATTGTTTCTTTTCTGAACTTATATTAAATACATCACATTTATCAATCATATTGAATAAAACAAACAATCTCAATGGAATTGTTCATCAAGATGATTGGATAAAACTAATCATTCATAATATGATTATGATGAAATCCAATAAATCAATAATCTATTTATTAAATTGTCTTTTAGCTCATGCATCTACAACATTTAATATCATGAATTCAAGAAAAGTAATCAGTACTACTCATACTACTAATGCTAACACTACTACTAATACTACTAATGCTAACACTACTACTCATACTACTCATACTACTACTACTACTACTACTACTAGTAGTAGTAGTAGTAGTAGTAGTAGTAGTAGTAGTAATATGGAACAAAAAGAAGAATCTATATCCACAATTATTCGATCACTATTTATTATAGATTGGTTCACTGAACAATATCCATATTTAATTGATACATTAATAAATATAGATTGTAAAGATTTACTTTATATTTTCAATATACATAGTATTATATCTATAACAGATAAATTCATTGAAATATCTCCGATGAATTTAATACAAATCAAGTTGATTAAATGTATTCTAATTGCATTAATAAGTCGATTATATGAGAAACTTAATATAATCAGTGAAATTTCATAAAGAATGTTACATAACCAGTAATGATTTGATCAAGTACAACAAGAACAATGTACATAATTGATTTCTTAAAATTATATTATATATCTGACATTGAATCATATTTCGAAGAGAAACTTAAGTGATTAGGTACTTAATTGTATTGTATTGTGTTGTGTTGTAAATCTTTTCACATAGTAAATATGCTGATTTATTGATATTCAATAGTGTATAGTTCAGTTTACACAGATCTATTAAGCTGGGAGAGCCAGTTCCCTCAAGATTACAGGTACACCTTGATGACGAGTGCCAAGTAGCACGAAATTCCGGGTGCAGGGTTTCCTGATCACTAACTCCAACCACTATCTAATCTCAACATAGTGCACGCAGTGTAGTGTCACCTAGACTGGTGGCCACATTACGACTCAATCGATAGCATTCGATTCACACTAAGAAGGATTTTGCACCACTTTTCCTAACCTTCGAAGAATAATTTAGAGCAAAGACCGAATACACAGAAGCAAACAAGAGAGAGCATTAGATCTGACAGTCAGAAATATGTGGAAGACATGAAAACGATAGCGGAAATGCAAGACAAATACATGACACAAGAAAGAATTTAGCAGAGAAAATGCAGTAAACCAGAGATGACAGTCAACAACAAAGAAGGTAAGTCAATCATTGAAATTCAAGAACAGAGGAACAGATGGGTAGAAAACTTTAAGGAACTCTTGAACAGACTATCCACACTGAACACACTGGACATCAAAGCAGCACACACAGATGTTACATCATCAACGACGGAAGAAATCAGGTTGGCCATCAGACACGTCAACAGTGGGAAAGCATCAAGACCCGACAACATACGAGCTGAATCACTGAGGTCGCACGTGGGAGCAACTGTAAACATGCTCCACACTCTATTCAGGAAAACTTGGGAGGAAGAAAAATTGTTGACAGACTAAAAAGAGGGACACCTCATCAGGATACCCAAGAAAAGAGATTCAAGCAAATGTGAAACTACAAAGAAATCACACTACTGTAGGTACCAGGAAATGTTTTCAACAGAGTGTATTTGAGCCAGATGAAAGATTCAGTAGACACTCAACTTCGAGATCAACAGGCTAGATTACGTAAGGATTGGTCGTGCACAGACCAAAGTACGACAATACGGATCGCTGTTGGACTATCACTTGAAAGGAAAGTGTCATTATACACCAACTTTCATGACTATGAAAAACATTTCACAGTGTGAATTGAAGAACCTTATGAAACCGTTAGCACTGTAGTGTACGTGTGCGGTGTACTTATTTCCATTCCCTCTCTCCTGGCGATTGACTAGATTATGAAAACCGAAACATCTGACGGAAAGCATCGAATACAAAGGAAGGCTTGCATGCATCTAGACGATTTGAACTTTGCGGATAATCTGAACCTTGTGTTCCATACAAACTCTAGAGATAAATAAATCCCCAAAACAAATAGCTCTGTAAGTTTTCGACATTTGGTGCTGACCACATTGGTTTTGATGCACTCACCTAGCTGTAGGCGCTCGGTCATGCATCCGTACCAGATCACGAGTGGAAACGCCATGCTCAACATCCTCTGCAATCGCTACCCAGATTAGATCCGTCGATCCACGATATATTGATAGACTATCAAATATATCTTCGAACCTCCTCGTTTCTATCTTTTGATTTCACTTGGTGGATACGATTCATATTAGAAGGTGTTACTGGTTAAAGTGTTGCCAAACTACAAATACCCATGGCATCTTCATTGGTGAGTCTAACGTGATCTGTTACATCAAATTGGGATTTTACATATCATTGTCGTATTTTAGTTTTTTATATATTGTGGTATTTTTCAGTGTTTCGGATATATATATTTCTTCACTCGTTCATTCTCGTACTTGATGTCTCACCATGACTGAATAGACATCTAAGGTACTTAAGTTAAAGACTATATCACCACCTTCGTTTCAGCTAATGCCCATCTGGCCAGACGACATCGAATCCCGGTTCTGTTATGCAGAGGCCAACTTCCACAAGCACGGCGTGAACGACGTATGTGCGCAATTCTTCATAGTACTCAGGCCACTACCGCACGAATTCAACAGGTACACAACACCTAGTATGTTTACTGGGGATATTTCGGATTCCTACGAAACACTGAAACGATCTATTCGTAAACGCGGAGATCTAACCAATCGACAACGGTTAGACTAACTCCTTAATAACATCGGACTGCAACATGGTTCTGCGACAGACATGCTGCAACGAATGACAGAGGTTATCGGCCAAAATCCTTGGATGATGGATCATTCAGACAACGTTTCTTATCTAGACTTCCTCAACAGGTGCAAGCTCTGCTGGTGTCCTTTCAAAACAACTCCGTAAACGAGCTGACCACATCCTTGAAATCACGAAATTCTCTAATACCGAAGCTCTTTCAGTTAAAGAAAAGCCTCAAACGACCCAGAATGACATAACAGAGTTATGTCGTGCACTTACATGTCATTTGCGATTTCGTACTAACCGTAAACGGTCATACACACTGTGAAGAAGCACTTCACGTAGGCGATCTGTCTCCAAACCACGAAAGACTGATAACCCCAACTGGTGCTGGTGACATAACCAGTATGAAAATTCCTCCAGAAATTGCAGAAAATCCTTCAAGTTTCCAAACTCAAAATCAACCGAGACGAAAAATTTTATAAATTGTGAATCTGTATGCCCTGTATATTGGAAAGCACAACGATACCGCCAATCAGAGAGCAATAAATAATCGATCGGACCAGGGACGCCTAAAACCCGTACGAGCAGTCTAGATTACTTATCGGTCCTGCTTTCCGCCTAGCTCAGGCAGTTAAGTCCAGAACACCGATCTCAGCCTCTGCTATATGAATCATTTATTTCAAACATACGAGGTTTATATACCAATCAAACCAACCACAAAGTACCGTAAATTAGAAAATAGCATTTGTGCCAAAAGTGGCTGTGAATGAGGGAGATAGTAACTAACAGATAGGCCATAACTCAAGGATGGTAAGTCGTATAATAATAGTTCATAGGTCAAAATAAAACTCATAATGAGAGGAACATGAATATTAACAGTTTAGTTACATGACGGTTATACGATAAATATATACTCATAGTATTGGTCCATAAATGGATCCCAAAAATTACCATTTATTATTCTCATTGAGATATAACAAAAAACAATTCGGGAAACTTCCAAGCCGGTACGCGTTAATCGCAACCGTAGCCGGCGAACATAGCCATCTGTTATACATCACAGATGTGATAACGAAAGTTCGCTACCTCGTCAATACTAGCACAGAAGTTAGCATTCATCCTACGAATTCTATCGACCAGCTTTTCGAATCTGTTTCAAACTTGCATGTGGCGAAATAAAGCCTATCGCTACGTGTGGCAAAAGGTACGTTTACCCTAAAGTGGATTTACGCTAAACTATCTGCTTGCGTAACTTCTTTTTCTGGTCGTAGATTATCTCCTGTCAAAGTTAAACACACGATAGACACATTCAATCAACCTCTTCTAGATAAGTATTCTCGGATATACCAACCGCAACTGTAATCACCGTGTGTAACCAGCAACATACACGTCACATAATGACTACAGGACCACCTGCGTTCTCGAGAGCGCGCCGACTGGCTCCCAAAAAGCTGAGGTTAGATAAAAAAGAATTCGATTAATGATAGAGTTAGGTATCATAAGACTGTCAAACAGCCCATGGGTATCTCCGTCACACATGGTCCTTAAAAAGGCATTACTGTAAACATTCAGAGATGCTGAATTGGAACTGACTCCTTAGACTCCCTAGGACACACTGAAGATGCGCAAGGCATTCGGCTTCATAGAACCAAAGCAGCGGCTATTCTGGATTACCCAGAACCGAACACCACCAAGCAATTACTCACATTTAACACCCTGGTAATTTTCTATAGACGATTCGTACCGAACTGCGCGTCACTTATGAAACCTTTAACCGATCAACTTCGTGGAAATGCGAAATCCATCAGTCTGGACGACACCACACGAGAATCATCCTCCACAGTTAAGGAACTAATCGGTAAAGCAACAATGCTTTCACATCAGAACATTGAAGCACCCATTAGTATCTCAGTAGACGCATCCGACTCAGCAATCGGAGGAGTCTTACAACAATAGGTTAACCTCTTTGTCATTTTTCTCTAGACGGTTGCTAGACAATTCCAAGTGAAAAAAGCCAGTATAGAAGCAGCATCTGCATCAGAATGCCTTAAAATACACGGGGAAAAGCACAATCCTGGAATACAACACCAGGAAATTCAGCACAATCACTCTTGATGGAGAAGCTGTGGAAGATGTGAAAACGTCCACGTGCCTAGATGGCATCATCGATGAATGTGGATGGTCCGATGAGGACGTATATGCAAGGATTGGCAAAGCAATGGCTGCATTCCTACAACTGAAGAACCCATAGAACGTAAAACAACTTTCAACCAATATCAAAGTCACACTCTTCAGTACGAATCTCAAGACAGTTCTATTGTGCAGAGCTCAAACGTGCAAAACTATTAAAACCAAAAAGATACAAGTATTTACATACAATTGTCTACGCTCGATACTCACTATCATTTGGCCGGATACCATCAACAAGAGCCTACTGTAAAAGAAGACAAAAGAGCTCCCAACTGAGAAGGAAATTAGGAAACTTCGGTGGAATTGGATAAGACATACATTACGGAAATAATCAAACTGCATCACGAGGCATGTGGTAACTTGAAATTCTGAAAATAAACAGAAAAAAGGAAAACCGAAGAACATATTATATCGCGAATCGGAAGTAAATAAGAGAAAGATGAATGGCGACTGGAAAAAACCGGAAAGGATGGCTTAGGACAGTTGGATGGAGAATGCTGGTGGACAGCTTATGCTACTCTACGTGGGGTAACAGACAAAAGTAAAGAAGCCTAGTGCGGCGACGAACTCCGGTAATTAGTCGTCGCTTGTATTGTAGTTTATTTATTCCGGAGCAGGTTTTTTTTATCTAAAGGAGTTGCACTGCCAACATCCGAAGAAACACGAATGTAGTTTATAAGATGACGGTTTAATGACAGCAGCGACGATAAAGATTGATCCAATATGAAGTCTGTAGTCCATCACATAAAAAAGCCCCACAAAATAAATGACCACACTGATGAGTGATAACACCGCTTATGCTCATGTCATGTGAGGATGTAGGGTACAAAAGATGGACGACGGAATATTTATAAGTGGAACGATTTTTCCTCACAAACTCATACACGAGCTATATGGATTTCCCCGAAAACTTTGAGGAAGCAGATCGATCCCACCACTTAGTAGAAGTGACCATGCAGTCATCTTATTCAAATTCATGGCTGGGATTGCCTGTCAAACAGTTGCATCGGCCCGTCTCAACATATGGAAGGCAGATATGTAGGCAATTAACTCCGCAGCATCGGCTGAAAACTGGGAAATTGACTCAAAGGCATCAGTACAAGAGGCATGGACTCTATTCAGGCAGTTATACAATCGGGTAACTCAACCATACATACCCTGGACTGTCCCAACGAAAAAGAAGCACGGACATTCCTGGATACTAAGATAAAAGAAGAAATGCTGGGATGTTGCCATCCGCCTTGGCACAGCAGGTACGATGGAACGCTACAGATCGATAAGAAACGAGTGTAAAACGAAAATTCGGGGAGCTCAAAGAAAATATGAAATGCAGCTGGCACAATCTGCACTCAAGCAGCCCAAGAGAATATTCTAGTACATAAACTACAGAACACGGATGCGTCATTGGATTCGCAACCTAATTAAAGTAGGAAGTGAATCTGAAATGATAGAGGAAGATCAGGAAAAAGCAGAAGCTATGACTGACTATTTTGGGGCAGTTTTCACTCAGGAACCTCCTCTAGAGAAAGAACCAGACCCAAATATAGAGTCAACAAATCAGCTGCTGCTTTTATGCAGTTCATTGATGTTAATTATTGCCATGCTCCTGATATTCAGTTTATCATAACACGATTTATCAGTTTTCATCCAGAGCATTAACATTATTAGCATTCGTGTATATTATCCTAAAAAAAGTTTGTTATTTTCTGATGGCAAAAAATAGATGATAAAAAAATCTGTTTTAGAAGAGCGGTCATACAGACAGTCTATTATATTTTTCATTACTTGCCTAATGCTATTTGGATATTTGTGTCAGTCTGACTGAACACATGACTGGTCCCAATTATTGTCGATCCTTTTGTTCGACTAGGATTGTTCAGTTCACTGGTTTATAATCACGTTTTTCTTGCTTCTTACAGGTGGATTTTCCTTACTCGAAAAATCGGGTTCAGTAACAGATATTGGCTTTCTGTACTTTCGATATCTTAAACGTCACACCGTGCAAGTAATCAATGATAAGGACTTTCCCTGTAGATGATGACTACATAATCTTAAGCATTTACTTATAGAATGAGTTTATAAAACTAGGAAGTATTTCATAATGAGGGTAAACAAAACGACTATGAATGTGATTAACCTCAGTAGTGAGATGAAAAGTATATAAAACCAAGACTAATAATGGGTTTTAAGTAGAAAAGCATTTGTAAACATAAGTCCAGAACATTTTGAAACTACTACCACAATAAAAATATCATCCTAGCATAATGTTTTAAAACATATAGCTCTAGTTTAAAATTGTGGATGACTAAAGTTTTAGAAGTTTAAGGTTGGTCCGGATATATACCTTTCAGACTACTTGGTTGAAGCTCTTAAATAATGTTAAAATGATAGTTTGAAGTTACATGTTCTGAGTTCTCTCAAAGTCCCAGGTTGACGGACATGGCATTTCTATAGTGTTGTTTTCAATGTCATATTGGGAAACGACCTCGGACACCGGACTCAGAGTACTTGCTGCTTGTTACTTTGGAAGAATACAGAGATACTTGGTTACACTGTAATGAGTCTCCTATGATCAGGCCATAATAGTAGGAAAGTAGTTATGTCCTCTCTCTCTAATCTAATTATCACCAATTAACCCATACTGCCAGGGCCGGCGACATAATTATCACCCGACACATCAACCACTAAATAGCAACAAAGACCTCGAGCATCTTTCAACCCAGCCCCCAATCAGAGAACGAGGGAAGAAGGTGGATCAGTTCTCTTCTGTACTGACTCAATCATGACTCGGAAATTGTACGATAATATCCTTGTAATCTCTAGTCATACGGCAATGCAATTAAGAAATTACAATGGATACATAACTTCGACAAACGTGATAGAAAATCGAAGTAATAGAGGAATAATTTATTAACGTTTGGTAAATTCGGAATAACAAGATGTATTATAATGGTCAAGGGATTAAACGAATGCTTTGAAATCAGAGCACATAAAAATAAAGTGATCCCGACGTCTACTAATTTTACAATAGAAAAACAGATAATAAGCCTTCGTGTGATGGCTTCAAAAGTTATGCTTCCTCACTGTTCGTCTCGTTACATGACGATTGCATTTGTGATTATGGCTGTCAGAGAGAAAACATTCCTCGAGTTATAAAACCTCTTATACTTTACTATTTTACTCACGCCTGTTATTCCTCGTGGAGGAGCATAGGCCGACCACCAGCACTCTCCATCCAACTCTGTCCTAAGCAATTCTTTTCAAGCAGTTCCCACTTTATATTCATCGTTTTCATATCTTATTCTACTTACCAACGTGGTGAGTTCTTTGGCCTTCCTATTTTCCACTTCCCCTCAGGGATTCCAAGTTAGGTTTGTGTAATGTATGTCCCATCCATTTCCATCGTCTTTCCCTAATTTTCTATTCAGCCGGAACCTTGTTTGTTCTCTCACAGAGAAGGTTGTTGCTGATGGAATCTAGCCAATGGGTGCTGAGTATCGTGAGTAAAAAACTATTTATAAATACTTGCACCTTCCTGATGATGGTTGTCGTAGTTCACCATGTTTCAACTCCGTAGAGTAGAACCGTCTTGACGTTTGCATTGAAGATTCTCACTTTGATATTGAGTTTCATGTTTTCTTTTACTTGTGTGACACAATTCTTATAATTATCCTCTGCGTTTTTTGCGAAACAATGCTCTAAATTTATGAGTAGCTGTGAAAGTCTTGGGATCGACACCATGAGGATTGGTGGATGGACATCATTAGCAAGTCTGAAAGTATGACAAAATAACTTCAAAACATTTCAAATTTTATGTAGTTTAGCACAACACAAAAGTTCACGATGAAAATACTTTCATGCATTAGCAAACTGACTCTGTGTAAAATACAACCTTAAAATTAATTTCATTTCAATATATTGGTATTCGAAAAATTTACTAAACACACTCAATTTTAGCTCATTTAGTACAAACACTTAATTTGATACACCCATCCACAATAATATATCGAGTTAGCGAAATTCCGCTTAAATCTGTGAGACTGAGAATTCTTCGGACGACTAGAGCAATAGCTATTCCGATCAAAAATCCGGATATTTGTGTTCAGCAGAAGTATGTTCAACCATTCCTTTTACCTTTATCAACTTTTGGCGTAATTGCTTGATAAACATTTTTATGATCTGGTGACCTAATTCGAATCATGTCAATCTTCTTAGCTAAATCTAAACTCGTTCACGCATCTTGTCATTATTACTGTTACTATAATTATTATTGTTGTCATTATTATTATAAAACCTGTAGAAATTTTTCAGAATCCACTTCTACAACAATCATCAACAACATACAGGTGGTTATACAAAATTGTCTGCACAAAATACTTCCTATCACTTGGTCCGATGGCATCAACAACAACCTTCTTTTGAAGGGAACAAATCAAATCGAACGTGAGGAGGAGATTAAGGAAAGACGCTGTTGGTGAGTACGATGCACACCGCAACACAAGTCCGGTCCTAACTCAGAATCCCGAAAGGAAAGGGAACAAAGAAAACCAATGGACATACTCTGTCTAGGACGAGAGGCAGACGTCAAAAGGATGAATAGCACTTGTCAAGAACTAGAATGAAGTGCTCATAAAAGAGTTGATTGACGATCACTACTTGGCAGCTGGTCATTAAAAAAGCAGCATACTTACGTAAGATCAGAGAATCTCACACAACACGATATGGTACCTAAAAAATCAAGCATAAACAAAATACTAATAATACTATAGAGGTTTTTCAACCAGTAATCAAACTTTGGAAACTACTTTCAGGAGAAATGGTACTTAAAATCTCAATATACACTTTAGAGGGGCTATAAGATCACCAAAACAGCTTTCTAGAAAAGGATTAACACAATCAGTTCACCTTCTGGTTTTAAAATGAAAATCTGTGAATTAAACTCCAGTTGTTCTCGATTTTATTACATATAGTCGGCAAGAAATATTTTGATTTGTAGCTTAAAGCAACGTATCACTGGAAGCGCCAAAAATCCACTGAACGATATTCGATTTTGTCTCCCAAAAGCTAATTATAAGAGGAGTTTATTGGACGTTGAACTAATTGTTTAAGTTGCCGTAGAGCGGTAAACATTCGATAGTGGGGCTCCTTGATCTCATCGGGACGTCTTTGGTATCTGTCCATTCATTATCAATAAACGGCTTTCTTGTTCGTTTCTCAAATATACTTACCAATACTCTTATTTTCCTCATCAACTTAAGATGTCAGGTCAGTCACAACGTGGGAAGACGAAGTCTTTGAGGTAAGTTCTTTTTCTCCGACAACAAAATGTTGTAGAGCTCGAAATCAGCGTATGTCAATGCCCCCCATTAATCATTTGCGTGTGGCGCATGCTCAGGTAAAGCGATATTTATCAGGTTCCTAGCTTCTTTAGAATGCCTCAAATGACAACTTGGGGATATACTCGAACCCCAGACTAACATATATTCTTGGACGCCATGTTATTGTAAGTATAAATTATTTCATTTATGTGTAGGGAAATGTGGGGGAAATCATTACTATTGAAGACGACCATGTTCACGGTGTGATAAAGGCTATTTCTCCTTCAGTAAGTGCCAATTTTATTATATTGCAAGGCTGATCTCGGTATAACATATGCTCAAGTTGCACAAAAAAATGACAAAGGTAATCGTAAGAACGTGGCTGACAAAACCATTCTCTGGACAGAAATTAAAATGGTTCAGATATCTAACGTTAAAAGGTTGGACTGCCTAGTCGGTGAGTAAGAGACTTAATTATGAACTCTTTCAGATGATATAAAAACGGACAGTGAGATCGCGAAAGACTGTTCAACTAATAACTTTGTGGAAGACAAGGAACTGGTCCCGTTCTTTGCCTCGTCTGATGTTGTTAAAGACTGTTTACTTGATCAGGGAAGCTTTTCTGCAATGGAAATGTTTGAGACGAATGAAAAAATGTTTTCCGTCGTTTCCACGTATAATGACGATCTCCGAGAGTATACGTAAGTTAGATTTAAGTTCTATCTTATTTTCCAGGACACCTGTTGACAGGTCTGCTCCAAATTTCTCTGAAACCGAGGCGCGGTGTGCAAAACTAGCGCAAGACATCACAGAAAATTCTTCATGTATTAGTTTAGTTGACAATGAAGATATTGGGATGGAAAATGAGGAGGAAAAGTATAGTGCTGTTAGACGCAACGGGACTGTCCAGAATTCAATGCGGAATGCGAAAAGCAATTCCCGAACAAATCTAGCTCCTGCAGAAACTCCAGTCAATTGCCTTGGCAGTCAACTGTCCCAGGTATGTATTCAGTCAAGTAAGCCCAGTCACATCGAAGCTGTCCGTGTGAGTATATCTGTTGGGGATGCACTAAAGTCAGACATTGTTCCACAAGTCAATGGAATATCTAAAACCAGCACCCAAGCCGATAAAGATAAGGTCAAACTATGTCACGACCAACCTACTAAAGTGTCTACACCTACTTGCGTGTGCACGTCAGCGCCTCCCGTAAAAACCAGTGTTGTTGATGTACCTGTGTCGTCTGTTGGTAAATCAAGCAGTACTGAAGAGCGTGTTAAGAAATCAACACTCGATCCCAACGCTCCTGAGTTCCAGCCTATGGGTTTGTCTTATACTTCACATTCTATTGCTACTATGCCTCCTACTCTTCAACCCAGTTTACCTACACTAAACATGCCTATTCCACATTACGTATCAACGGTAAACGTTATTTCTCAAGCCTCTCAATTACCGACACAAGCTACGTTTATTGCTGCAGGTCAGCACATGTATGCACCTTACTCCTATGGACCCCAGACACATATTCAACAACTACTACCTACTTCAGTTTGTTCCAATGGACCTGGTACAAACCCTCAGCATATTCGAGGTAGTGCATTACCCCCGTCTGTCAATCAACAAAGCTATGTCACTCATGGAAGTAATATGATGCATCAGCTGGGACAGAATGCTACATTAGGGCAGATCATTACAGCTCCTCAGGTGATTACAGGTCAGAACTCCACGGGTCGCCTTCCAGTTTGTCCTTCGTCTTCCGTCAACTTCACACGCCAACGTTCCAATGATTCCCCTTCTTCGGTAACCCACTGTACATCGTATCCTGTCCAGCAGTCAACTATGTCTATTCCCACCTTCCAGTCACAAGCACTATACCAGTTACCTCAACCAAACGGTACGTTCCCTTACTTGGTTTCCAGTCATCCTCCAGTGGGACTGCAGTTCCTTTCTGGTCTGCCTACTGCTGTTAGTTCTGGTTTGATGATGGGAGGTGTTCACGTATCACAACCTTCTAGTCAGCAAATATGCCCAACTCATACCATCATGCAAATGCAACCTGCGCATTTACAAATCCCTGTTGGACAACCAGATCAAATTAACCAAACAACTACACCTCAACAAACCTCCCAATCTCAGCAAATATTCTCTCAACACTTTCAAGATCAATCCCACCCCATCCAAATCCCTTCATACGCAAATCTCCAAGCTCCATATCACCACAACTTAATGTTCGCTCCTCAACAGAATTCCCCTGGGTTTTACCCCGGGCCATCTGCAATGATAGCGACACCAGGAGTTAATCATATTGCTTCTGGTTTATCACCCATTGTTGGCCAACCGAATCCTCATCCACTGGGTGCCAGCGTGGCAAATCAATCCGACTCTTCTTCAACCGCCACCCAGCAGTTACAGCAGACTCATATTATGTCTCAACCGAATTGCCAACCACAACAATTGTTACAACATTACCAAGCAATCCCTCAACCGCATTTGCTACAAACACAGCAACTGTCCGCAGCTCAACATATAGCCGGCCATCATCTCCCCGGCAACCACACCTACCATGCGCTGATGGCAGCAATGGCGGCCGGTGGTGGAGTGGGAGCTACACAAGCTCATTAGTTACTGGGTGTTTTGTAATGCCGTTGGCTGACAAGTAATATATTCTAAGACCAAATCCAGCGCTTTGTAAACTACCCGATGCCTTTCATTCTTGACACTATCTTAAGGTGTCTCAAGTAGTACTTTGTTGACTCGATCTCCAGAAACATGCAGGTGTAATCTCAAATCATCGTGGTTTTTCCTGTTTCTGCAGGGTGTTGACAATGAGTCCTAAATTGTTGTAGATGATTCTGCTCAAATTGTAAAGATCGCTTGTATGCAACCTTTAGTAAAATATATTATCGCTAAGCAAATGATCTTTATTATTGGGTTCGTAGTGTATTTTATTTTACCTAGAGCTGTGGACTGCACTGCAACTTAAGATTTAATTCGGAAACAGTTCAGACGCGTCACTTAAGTCCGCTTTGTGACATAAATCTTGCGACCATTAGACGTTAGTAACATCCGGTAAGTTATGTATTCCATCGTACGCCGACCCCGGTGGGTTGCCCGTGTGCTGACGCATTTTCCAGTGTGATTAGTGCCATCTAGACTTGCAGTGATACCGCGTGCTGAAGTAGTTTGTATTTACCAGCAGTTGAGTGGCGATATACAGCGTGGGTCCGTTCTACCGGTAGGCCTAATCTCAGTTTCTCGTATATAGACACGGTACAGAGACCGGTCTGGTAGTCAGGTTTCTGGATAATTTGAGCAAGCAAATTGTTTCAATGTTTTCTGAACGTGAGATCATTGTAAAGTTACAAGTAGCAGCTCCCTTGTGTGTCGATTGCTTTGGTGCAGTGGCTGCCCGTAGCAATCTCCGAGTTCGCAACTGTTGAGGTGAGTGTAATCTTCCTCTTGCGTGTTATTGTCCCCCATGCTTTCCGCGAGGATTCGTCCCTTGCCTGGACTCAAATATTCATGTTTATCCTTTGAAGCGATGGTTAGCTTGTTTGATTCCCGCCTTACACGTTCAACAACCCTGGTGCCTGTGATATCACCACCTCTCATTAAGAGTATGCCTAAGCGAACTAATGACAGGGGATATAAGAGGAATACACACGCAGATGTCTTGCCTGTCGTTTGGACAGTCAGACAATCCTCCAGTTTTTACCTCTCTGACATTGAGTCGATGACGATTTATCCTGTTTTCGCGTAGGTTAGCTCCAGGCTGTCGCCTCTATCGAAACACAATTATATCCTCTTAACTCGGAAGTCTCCTATACTCGCCTCATTCTTCAATCACGAAATAAATATTTAGATAAAGTCGACCGGATTTCAAAAGTTAGAGACATTTATTTACTGATAATGAGACCGTCGTTTAATATAGATTAGTGGCGAATAGACGTTCATCATGCATCGTAAGCAATCCTACTGTCACCGACGATCTGCAGACAAATTTGCGGTAAGCAGGTACTAGTAATACGTTGTTTTTATGAGTGTCATAAATGTTAACACCATATGAAATCATGCACGCTCTCCCTACCTACATCCAACTTAGCATGCGTAAATGAGAAAGCAAATGCATGGCTAGATAAGTTTATTTAAAAAATATGGCTAAAATACAGTTTTAAGAACTAACGCTCAATCGGAACTTCATTATTACTATTCATGATCGTAATAAGCGTCCTGTGAAACCTCTTTTTACTGAAGACCAACATTTACAGCAATGTTAAACTGCCTCCCTTTTTAGCCAACCGACAAAATTAATTGAGACTTACTGCAATTCTCGTCGACACTGAACTCTGCACCGACAGAACAAAAACTCATTTAAAGTTACTACAGCGTTATCTCCCCTCACATATGGCAATAACATTGCGTTGCAATGTCAGTATATTGCAGTCTTCTGTTATAGTGAACGATAAAATCCTGGATGCTAGTGACTAAAACAAAAAGAATTTTCACTTAGTATGCTTCTATTAGACCTGCACTTTCGAAATGACAAGCAGTGTAATGTGGTTGGCCGCCTCAGGCTATATAACATGTGACAAAATCTAGCGCATAAAACGTTCTGGGTTATCATCCATTGTTCACGTTTCTATGACCATCTGAAATATGTAGTAATAATTTAATGGATTTAGCAGACTTACAAATCCGTATCTTCTTGCCGAAAGCATTCATCCGACGTTCGCAGCTCCTCTTGCAAACTGAACAAAAAAGTATCGAGTTTCGTTGGGCTACCCTGTGCATCAGACTTGGACTGAAACATGAGCTGCATAACTTTGGCACTAAAGTCTGGTATTGCTGACCACATTTGATGCAGAACAAGATTTAGTTTCGCGAATTTAAAACAAATTACAAATGTGACTTACGCGGCCGCAAACCCACTGTCAACATGCGTTGACGGCAATGTTCCTAGTTGTGTAGGAATTATTTATAAACATCAATAAAATATGCCTAGATTTCAGCCATGTCTATGTCGATGAAATTTTACAGAAACCCTGGTTCCGTTTCAATAATACCATGAAAGATATTAATAAGATTACTGTACTTACCTCGTGGGCTTTAATGTTTTTGGGGGAATGTGTTTTCATCCGTCAAACTATTGACATGGTAACCCGCCAGTTTGCTGAACAAATCTGCAAATTGTTTGTATGGAATATCTGTATATGTAACTCATCACGGTAGTGCATAATCTGTCGCCTGATGTCTGACCAATCCCCACCTGGTTGAACACTGTTCAGGTGCATATCCACAAAGCTTTCAGGATACATACGAAGTTCTCCCACAAGACAATTGCTTGCCGTAATTAGTGCCTGCTTCTTACTGAGTCCATTGATAACCTCAAACTGCTTAGTAGTACACTAAATGATATTTAAAAGCTAGAAACTCATAGAACATATGACTGAACCTACGTCACAAGAAGGCAATGGTTTCTTAAAATAATGTCAGTGAAAACGCTAAATCTAATTGTCCCGTTTTCCCTATATCGGTAATTACCGTGTAGTACTATGCGCACCATCCGGTTTAAATAATGGGTTTCCAGTATCCTTAAACGTAACTATCAGTTTCTTGTAGCCATACTTGACTGAAGTGCCTATAGTAGTTGCTAAAATACTAGCTTAAAGCCTACCACAAAAAATCTTTTGTACATAACGCTGAGCTAATTGCTCCATCATAGGGTAACGGATATGCATTGAATTCTTAATGTTCCATATGAGACTCAAAGAGATAAGCGGGTCGCAAACTGAGAGCTCTATGCGAGCAAACGTCATCAGCAACACTTTTTGGTGGATGTACATTGTAGATTGTGCTTAAGTTCATAGCACCGCTCATATTCCTCAAGAAAGTTACGTAAATTATTACTAACTGAATCTGTTGCACTGCTGTACAATTTAAGATGCGCTAACCTATATATCCCTAATCTTAAATGCTTGGAATTTAAGTACAGAGGTAATAGTAGGGGTTTTTTAATAGCCGTGGAACCTAAATAAAGGAACGATTGACATTCGGTTGCTTTCCAGATGGAAATGAAGTCTAGTGTTCGACATTTATAGTGAAAGTCAGAAGGAGCACTCCCAACACAACGAGAAGTGAATTTAGATGGTGGTTGAAGGTAGTCGACAGGAAACCCTGGACCCGAGTTTCGTGTTATTTGGCACTCGTCAGCAAGGTGTACTTGTAATCTTGGGGGAACTGGTGCTCCCTGGCGGATTCGATCTCGTGTCACCCAGCTTCACAGTCAGAGACGTTACCACTGAGCTATCCGAACCGTGACTGACCTGTAGGACTGAGATGTAATCACAAGAGATCGCTACTCAGTGATCAATCAATTGTGAGAAGTGAATTTATTTATGCCTCCAAATCTCCTGTGCGAGAAATCTAGCCACAGATTGATTAGTTTCATAGCAACTTCAGTATACCATGTGCATTGAATCTAAAGAGAACGTTGAAAAGACCAATTGGAAATGTCTCAAAATTGAAACGTTCTTAATGGTAATTAGGTTGACTGTTGATGTAAACTGTAATCAGTTTAAAAAGTACATTTATCATCTGGAAATGCCATCCTTCCTTCAATGGGACGATCCATCCATAGAAACCTATCGCAACCTACTTGTCGTTGTGATTCACTGTTTATCTAACATCCGAACAAGCAGGAGCATCACAGATGACAACAACGAGTTTGGTAGCTATACATTAGTTGAATCTGACACCATTCAGATCCAAGTCAGCCATTTCTTTTATCTCAGAAATTGTCAGCAGATATTAAACTAAATTCCGAAAGCTTCGTGTCTCCTCCATAGACACATTACTAAACCTAGGGGGAACGATGAGACATAATACTGACCATAATTGCTTATTCGAGCCACGTGAAATGGGCAGTCCGCCTACATTAGTCACTAATCGACCTACGTAGAATGCTCGAACCTAGAAGACCAAGTGTTTCAAACGATACAGTCCGCCTTGATCATCATAGTATGCTGGATCAAGTACCACTAAGATATAATTATTACGGAACCTTTTTAGTGACTCATGGATATGGACTATCCAGCCAATGCCGAATAAATATTATTGTATGAGCCCTCCATCATTCTAAAATAAATCTTTAGCACGTACATGTAGACTGGCGTATGCGGTTGAGGTGAGTGTTGATATCAAGAAATGACTCTCTCTTGTTTCTTTTAGAGAGAGATTGTTCCGTACCAAGTGAATAGTCCTTCATATTATAAGTTATTTTCAGTGTTGTATTTATTGTGACTACTTATGTCAGTGATTTTATCCCTTTGAGGCCAGAGTGTATGGAAGGGACTTCTCGTTTGTATCATTTTTGGCATGTCTGTTCTGTGTTAACATACTCATCGACGAACTCCTTTGGGTAATTAACAACTTAGCAAAAACGTGATTTCCACTTTATACGAATATTCGTCAAGATTAGAACGTATAGTTTGACAGAAATTGAGCGCCGAGTATAGAAGTCATCATATGTGAAAATTATATTTGAAATAATCTCAGAGATTGAAATTTAAATAATTTCAACGTTCCGCGTTGAGCCAATTTGTCTGGACTTCTGATTATTACCC